CTGCCCTCTTGACAGAACAGGAAGCATGCCAATAAAGCCTTCAACTACAGTCAGAGAGAGCTGGTCTGAGAGTAGGTCCTAGGTATAGTTACAGTTTCAGGAAAGCCCAAGTGACTATCTTAACTGAGTCTCCTTGACTATAGACCATATCCTGGAGAGGGGCTGAGCTCTATGTCCCACTGGGTTCTTAGCACATGGACAGGTGCCTGAAGGATGGTCAATTTGTTGAAAGAATAAACAATTCACTCCACGGAAAGAAAGTGTAGTCCTCCACAAAGGTACAAAGGTACATATGTGCATATGCTACAAGTGCCCAAAAGGGTTGAAAGTGAATGCTTCTCTTCAGTGATATAGAACTCAGTGGTTAAGTCTAAAATTATCACTTGTGCATTTTATTCCTATTCTAGCCATTATGCATTCTTAGAATCCAAATGGGGCCAGGCATGGAGGCACACCTTTAGTTCCAGATTTGGGAGGCTGAGACAGGCAGACTTCTGTGAGCTGGAAGCCAGTCTAATCTACATAGTGATTTCCAAGACAGTCATAGCTCACTAACTACATATACAAAACAAATATAAATAAAATGCAAGACTTTTATCTCTAACAAAAATGCTAAATCTTACTAAAAATACCAACCTATTACTTTCCTCATCACCAATTCTTACCAATAATTTTAAAATGTGAAAAAAACTTCCTTGTGAGAGAAACTGACACATAGCTTATGCCAGTCAGACTTAGCTCTTAAACGCATTGAAGTCTAATAACAACGTGCTGCCCCAACTTCAGTAGCACAAATCTACAGCATATAATTCATCTTTGAAAATTTTATATTCCAAGATTCCCCAGGGATTTTTAAATAAAGTAATATGCATACTATAAGACTGTTAGTGTTCTGCACTGCTGCCACCTGCTGACAGGAACTTATAATTGCAAATTTATGCACCGGAGGGAGGCTAGAGAACCTGGAGTTTGAGGTCATTCTGATAGGTGGATGAGATGCTATCTCAAATAAGCAACAAAAAACACTATGTGATCAAAGTGGGAATGTCTTATACTGCATATAGAGTTAGGAACATACTATACTACAATATAGCGAGCTGAGACTATTTCAAAAGAAATTACTATGGGAAACCCTCTATCAATGTAAAATTCTTAACCTGTAACATGTTGGACATTGTATGAGCCACTTACTGTACAGAACACAGAAACTGGATTGTTCTTTGATCCGCTGTGGCTAAGGTTCTTGTAGCCTTGTTTAATCCATGAAGAACATTCCAGCTCTGTGATTGAGAATTATTTTTCAACTACTCATATACGTGATTGGGCTTAAAGCCAGGGACCAGGGCTGATACCATCCCACTTTGACCATTTCCACAGGAGATACTAACCAACCATGTGTAGTCAAAGGAAGGAATCTATAACATATTTGCAGGCAGTGACCTCTCCAAACCTAGAGTGTACCAGTGGCCTTTGGGAGTACTTTTAGACCGCACACAGCCTTCTAAAGGTAGAGTGCACTCCTAGCAGTTAAATGTGGTGTGTTTATTTAGAAGCACACTTCGACACACTTACATTTTTCTCTTTACCTACCACCGACAGCGGCAGTTCTTGAGGCACAGAAGACAATGTGTAGCAACCACAGCACTCTGGCAGGCAGATCTGAGGCCAGCCTGGTCTACAATGTGAGTTCCTCCAGGACAGACAGGGGTTACACAGAAAAGCCCTGTCTCGAAAAATCAAAGAGGGGGAGGGGTGATGTGTAGTAAACAATTTTTCTTAATAATGATGTTGTGAGTTGGCCTTTAAAACCTGACAGGTTTTTTTTTTATATTTATTTATTATGTATACAATATTCTGTCTGTGTGTATGACTGCAGGCCAGAAGAGGGCACCAGACCTCATTACAGATGGTTGTGACCCACCATGTGGTTGCTGGGAATTGAACTCAGGACCTTTGGAAGAGCAGGCAATGCTCTTAACCACTGAGCCATCTCTCCAGCCCCAAACCTGACAGTTTTTAAGCTAATAAAGCTGCTTTAGAATTTTCCCCTCTAAGAAAACCTATTCCACCAAGCTCCAGAATCAGAATCCAGGCACTATTTGGGCGTTATAGACCTGAAGCCCTGCCATTGTTCTTGCCACTGTGCTGCATTAGGGAACGTGGTCAGTTTGGATGTAAGCTCAGATCCCACTGCGGCCTTCTTCAGTTCTGCACAGGCTGCAATGACCCCCACAGTGATTCTGTTGGGGGTTGGTAACACTCTGCCTGACTACTCCTCACCCAAACACACAAAATATATGTTGTCATGAAGGCTCGTCAACACTTTTAGATTTCAAGACCATTACAGATTTCAGGTTTTTAAACTAGAAAAGGTCAAACTTGCCACTACTGTTTACAAGTTAAATCTTAATTTATACTTTGGTCCCTTTTCAGGTCTATGTCCATGAGCTTGTACTTCAGTTATCACGATATTCCCTGCCTTTTGTTGTAGGGACATTTTCCTATCCAGTTCATCTCATGTGGGAAACACAGCCTTCCAAATGAAGACACAGAGTAGCTGTTTCTACACCCAGTCCATGAGTGAAGCTACCTGCTATGACAGGAGCTTCCAAGCTGGCAGTGCTCTGAAACTGGTGTAGTCTTAACTGTACGAGCAGAACAGATTAGCAAACTTCAGAATCTACTCTAAATATGAATAAAGGCTTGTCGGGGTAAAACTGAAAATTCTGTAATCTGGCTAAGAAATCTATTTTTAAAAATTCTTTAAGACATGAAAATCGTGACTAAAGTAACATAATGAAATGCTTAGAACAAAAGCAGAGCCATGTAATGTTACCCTCTGAAAATGGCTAGCCTAAAAACTAATGTTCAGTGTTGTAAGTCTACATTTAAAGAATTTAAAGTATTTCAGAGCGAAGACAGAGTGGACCTATTGTAATAGTACAAACCCAAATGTGTCCTTTTCTGTCCTCCCCATCACAACAGTCTGTTTATGCTACATATAAATGAGTCACCCTGATTTGCAAATCGCAATTGGCCAGGACAAAGGGAAGCCAGAAGAAAGTAGTATAAATAAAAAGCACAGCACAATATGCACCCTCCTATTTCAGTATTTAACACACTGGTAACCACTCCATTTCACGGAAGGAAAACATGAGTTACAACTTGAATAAAAAACTTTTATGGGAAAAGAAAAGGCTGAGCATCTTGCCTAGAAAAATTCTTTAATATCTCACGTTACCTAATACAGTAAAAGCCTTTTGAAATGCGTTGAGAATTCAGTTTGCATGGGAAATCCACCTGCCTCAGAATGGCTAGTCATCTTTTCAATTGAACGATTTTAAGTGGCAAAATCGTTCAGAACAGAAAAATATAGTATCTTCAATAGACATCTCAAGACAATAAAGTTATATTTACAGGATGCTGTCTATAATCAGAAATCACCAAGAAGCAAAAATAAACTAACATTTCATTGTCCTTTCTCTCAGCAGTAGGGCCAAGAACCAAAGAAATGTGTTCCAGGTGAAATAAATTTCCCAGAACAATTCTCATAAAATAGTTTTTTCCTTTCCCCCTGAGAATCAAGTAGATTAATCACTGGATTGCATGAGACAAAGACAAGCTCTAAATCCTTTATCATGTAAGACCAAAATTCTGTAGGCATTTCTGTTTAGAAAAGCTAAAATGTACAAATAATAAAAACTAAATAGCAAGACACGGTGCTTAGTAGTACCACGGCGGGAATTTATGGTATTTGACATTTGTGGATAAGTTTATTGCTTTTTGATGGGCTATAGCACCACTCTAGGATAAAAGATGGTTAGGATTAACCAGTCTTTAGTCACAATATGCGTTTCTAGTAGAAGTATTTCAGAATGAGCACTGAAAAGCCAAGAAACATTAGCATTCTGTTTTAACTGCTTCCAGCTTCATTCAACAGGCGAATGGGGAATCAATTTTAGTAAAGTAACTTGTACTGGATTTGCTACGTTAGTCTGATGATTCGAATAGAAAACCAAGGGACTCAGATCATTCAAACTTACAAAAAGGACACTGCAAATTTTCATGCCAAAAAAAAAGCAATAACAAAAAACATTTCAGATAGTTATTGCTTAAATGAGCAGTGGCTATACATGTGAAATTTTGAAAATCATGATTGATAAAATTTCTTTAGTGTGCTAAAATTTATCCTAAGGGAGAGAGAACTGGGTGAAGGATGTGTAGATACTGTCTACTCACTGTGGAAAACAGGCCAATTTCCCTCAGAACTACTTTAGAAACTAGTATCACCATAGTGATTTCAAGATTCATAAATAAGAAAGTAACATTACACATGCTATACAAAGTCAGCCAAATAATTATTTTCAGCTACTTTACTCAGTCTTTAGAAAGTATAATTTGAAGTTTCCTTAATCTAAAATTTGTGAACAGATAAACTGCTATGCAGAAGCACAAAGATATTTTAAATGCAATCTTCTATAAGAAGTAATTAAAATTTCAAAGCCAAACAATCTAACATCAAGTATGATTTCCTCTGAAACTGACTTTATCCACCAGTTTTTTCTTTATTCATCTGGATTAACCAGCACTCTCCACTGGTAATCTTTGTAGGAAAGTGTGACACTATCTCCCTTCAAGTAGCTTGACTTTCTAAAATGACTATTTCAGGAGTGGAATTTCTAAAAATAATTCTGTCCCACATAAGGATCAGTCAGTTTTGGAAGCAGGCACAAGAATTCTCAAGAGTGGTGAAACTTGAGAGTGCTGTGCAAGTTGTAATGCAGCATGATCTGTACCCTTGGGGGGCGGGGGGCGGCCATATACTGACGGTCGGCATGGAAAAGGAACAGCCTTACACTGTCACCAGACACTCTACAAAGAAAAGTGTCTTAATCTTGTTTTCAGGTTACAGTCACTCTCTCCTTACATATATTTATGTATATATGTATGTATATACACACTTTTTTATTGATGGGGTGATGCAGAAAGTCACAAGTGAGAAAAGGACACTAAGTTTTAATAAGGGGAACATAAAGTTGTTTTCACCAGCATAGGTTCACATTACAGAACACCAGTATCGACAGCATTCTCTTGTCTATTTTTGGTACAGAAGATGGTATCTCTCTACATAACCTGGTAAGGCTTCAGTAACTAAAACATAAAACAAACAAACAAAAAACCCAAACAAAACAAAAAAACCCAGCCTATTAGTTTACAGTTTATTTTAAAAATTCTGAAAGACACTGCAAGTTCTAAACTTGAGTAGTGCTACCCATACACAACCGTCTGGTCAAGAATGCAGTAAAAGCACGCCCTTTTGGAGGGAGCTTTGCAACAGTAGAGCAGTGCAACAAGAAAAACTTATACATGGCACATTCTCTTCATATTTTGTAATGTAAAAAGTTACAAACATACCTAATCAATAAATAATAATAAAAAAGAATTTGATGTATTTGTTAAGTATCCTAAAACCACTACATAGAATAATGGCAACTTTCACTCACAGATTATTTACATGGTAATACCCAGTGTGGGTACATTGCTACAAAACTCAAAACAGAAGGAGTAAACTTGAAATGTTTTCCTGTAAAGATCTAGCAGCATGACTATCTAATGCTGTGTTATCCCATTGCTTCTGAAACGGTCCTTTTTAGTCTGTGTCTTCATCCAGTTCATAATTGTCTTTATCATAAATATCTTTCACTAGAAGAACCCGTACAAGCATATTTTCCAGCGTGTTCCGGTCCAGGGAAGTAGATGTGTACCACACGGGGCTATCTGCAGAACTAGAACATTCTGGTTGCAAATAAAAAACATCCATTCTCTGATTAAGATTCTGTGGACTTTGGAGGAAAAGAGAAAAGGTCAATTTCACAAAACACAACAAAAGTCACCATAGCTTTACTTCTTTCAAGAACAACTCAGCCCCCAGCAACAGATATGCTTAGCGCCTTCTGCCTCATTAACTGCAGTAATGTTTTATCGGTAAACTCTTCTCTAAGTAATTGTGATAAAAATGTAGGATTAGTCCCCTACTATAATTTAAATCCTGTATTTCATAGAATCCAAGACTCCACTAATATATACACTATTATTTCAGTCATTATTAAAATGGTGCCAATTATAATCTCAAATGCATTAACTTAATGATGCATGTCCGTTTCAGAAAAATGAAATGTGAAAAATATGACTTAAAATATGCAACACATAAAAAGCCTTATAGCACTGAACAAGAAAATAAATATTAAATACTAACAAGACAATACTGAGAAAGGAATTCCCATCATGCAAATAGCTGTCAACACTGGAAATCCATGAAATTAAACGGATACTCCAGAACAGAGTTGAAGAAAACAAACCTTACACCACAGTTAGAAACAAGGGCATGCTAGAGGTGAAGTTCATACTTCTACAGATTCTTGAAAGCCACCCAGGAAGCCACACTATGATTTGAGAAGCTGTTTACAAAGTACAACCTAACTCTGCACTTTCTGAAAGTGAGAGTGCTTATTTAAAACAACACTCAAAATGAAACAGTCCCTAGAGCCTGCGAGTTTCAGACAGGGAAGACTGCAGTCATGCAAATGGGGACCTCCCAAAGAATGTCTTTAGAAAATTGTTCTCATTCACATCTAGGTATTTCATTTTCATCTCTTTTTCATTACACATTGTGCCCACTTTTAAACACATCTACCTTTGCACTAGAAGTTGGCAATGCTCAGCAACCTGTTTATATAAAGCCATGTACTGTGAACTTATTATTGTACAGTATAAGGTCTCTTTCTAGTTGTAGTGGGACAATCAAGTAGATAAAATAGAGACCAAATATCCAAAAACCTAAAATAGTTATCTCTAAACAGAGAGCCTAAGCCCCTGCTTGGCAATCAACAGATCTGCTCTAAAACAGAGATGATAGCAGGAATGACAGTTTTAAGAGTGATTTCTTAACATGGACTGGAATCCTAAAGTATATGTGCTAGGGATTTATTTCACAAGAGAATCTGAAGTTATAGTTGAATATAACTTTGGAGTATAAAATTCCATTTAAGCAAGAAGAGAGAAATTTCAAAAATTGTTAAAATCCTGTCACTTTTTGTAGGGGGGGAAGAGAGGGAGAGGGAAAGAGATGAGGAAAGGAGAGAGGGAGGGAGAGAGGAAGGGAGAGAGGGAGGGAGGAAGGGAAAGGAGGGAGGGAGAAATGTATATATTAGTTTTTCAAGACAGGGTTTCGCCGGGCGGTGGTGGCGCACGCCTTTAATCCCAGCACTCGGGAGGCAGAGGCAGGCGGATCTCTGTCAGTTCGAGACCAGCCTGGTCTACGAGAGATAGTTCCAGGACAGGCTCCAAAACCACAGAGAAACCCTGTCTTGAAAAACAAAACAAACAAAAAAAAAAAAAATCAAGACAGGGTTTCACTGTGTAGCCCTGGCTGTCCTGGAACTCACTCTGAGTGTTGGGATTAAAGGTATGCACCACACTGCCCAACAATACCATCACTTCTATTAAATTCAACCAACTTATACAAACATCTTAAAACTTAAGTTATCAGACTAAGAATGTAGCTCAGCGGTAGAGCAATTATCTAGGAAACATGAGGTCAAAAGTTCAATTCCCCAGTACTACAAAATAAAAGTCAAATATCATTAATGTTCACCTTTTAGACAAGTAGCATTCAAACATTTTCACAGGACATCTAGAAGGGTTGGCTGTGTTTTCAATTTGCTCAAATACTGGCTCATCATCCTCATGTTTTCGTTTTCCAGTAGCAATTTTATCTTTAAAAAGCAACAATAACAAAAGACAGACTCGTAAAACCAATCTTTTTTTCTTTTTGTGTATATGTGTATGTATGGTATGTATATGAATGTGGACACAGTATGCCACAGCACATATGTTAAGGTCAGAGGACTTTTGAAAGTCAGTTCTTGTCTGGGCAAGGCCTCTCTGCTTTTGCACTGCATACTCCAGGCTAGCTGGATTTATAAGTTTCCTGTTTCTGCCTCTCCTCTCCTCTCCACAAAGAGGGCAGAGATCACAGATGCAACCTACTGACTGCATCTGGCTATTTCTGTGGGCTCCAGGAATTCCAATTCAGGTGGTCAGACTTTGTGCAGCAACTGGTTTTACTCACTGAGTTATCCTCTAGACCCCCAAAACCAATTCTAAGGAAAAACTGTTTACCCATTGCAAGATAGGATCAGATTCCCTTCAGGGTTTTCTATGTGGTAGCTTCTGGTAATGTTTAATTTTGCAAAAAAGGAACTGAGAGACTGTGAATATAGCTCAGTTGGTAGAATGCTTGCCTAGTATGCTTGATGCCTGAGTTGAAGCCCGACTCAGCATAAAAACAGGTGTACTAGTTTATGCCTGTACTCAGCAAAGAAAGGAGGATCGTAGTTCCAAGGGTCATTTTTTTGCTATATGATTTAAGGCCAATCTAAATTAGAAATCCAATCTCCAAACAAAATAAATTACAACAAATAAATAAGACATTTTAAGAAGTTAAAGTTTGAAGATCGAGGCAGATGGATATTTAGGAGTTTGAGGCCATCCTAGTCTACACAGGAAATTCCAGACTAGCAAGGATACATAGGTGAGACCATGCCTCAAAATAAATGAATGAATGAATGAATGAAGACGGCACATTTTGTTGTGTTTTATGAAAGTAATTGTCTTTAGGCTCTTAATGAATGCCTGAAGTGGACTTAAGAAAGTATGAAAGATTGCCCACCACAGGCAATCTCAAAATAAAGATGCTATACTATCAGCGCCTGTGAAGGTTCAGAGATGAAGATCACTTATTGCTCTTGCAGAAGATCTGGGTTCAGTTCCCAGAACCCTCAATGGTGACTCACAACCCTTCATAGCTCCAGTTCCAGGAGATCTGATACCATCTTATGGAACCCTCAGACGCTGCACATATGTGGTACATACATATATTTGTGCAGGCAAAACACATTCACACACAGAAAAAAAAAATCAATCTTGATTTTAAAGTTACACTACCTTCATTGTCTGTTCCACATAAGGAAGACACCTGATATCGAAGACACGCTTTATTTTCCATTGTTAAAGGATTTTTTTTCCAATGCCTAAACACAGTGCCAAAGGAAAGTCTTAAGTGTTGCTCCACTGTTTTCAGGCCAAAATACTTAGTGTTAAAGTAGAACAGGGTGTTCAAAAGAGCTACTGGAGAGTGTGATCCTAGCTGTTTTATCCTCCAGAGATAGTCTTCTTCAACTCGAGAGAATATTGACCCTTAAATAAAGAGAACTATTTTAAAAGAATTATAAATACAGCAAACAGAGTTTTAATTTAACCGTCTAGAAATAAAATGAATTTAAAACAGTCAAATGCCAATCCGCTCTGCACATTACATCAATGTGAATAAACCTCAGAATTCCACATTAGCTGTTTTAATAATATAGAGGTTGGTAAACAGTCTATGGAACCACCATCCACAGAATAAAGTACAGTCCTTCAGTAGGGCAAACACATTATGATCAGAAAGCAATTTAAAATCTGTATAATTCTTGAAAACACGTGATTCTCATAAATTTCTTCACATTAGAATCTATCTATTGTAGGTCTTAAGATATAAATATCTAAGCTTTACACTCAAAGAAAGTGGGTCACAAGTTTTACAAAGCTCTTCACAAACATTAGTTACTGACTACATGTATTTACAAATGAATGCATAGGCACAAACATCTTACGCTCTAATTTAAATTATTTCCTAATTATACTTAACATACTTTCTGTAAAAATAACAATTCCATTATTAACTATCAACACATATTTAAAACAGCATTACCATCTGGAAGGATGCTTGGTTGCCAACTTCGGAGTATTTTATTCAATTCTTGCTCAAACATCTGGTATCCTGGATCAATAAATATGTTGTCCTTTCGATTACTACCACATAAGTACTACAAAAAAATTATTGAAGAAAAACCAGCTAATTATAAACACTGAATGTATTATAGTTTTCATTTCTTAAGAAAAAGTTTTATGTTTAATAAAAGCAAGAATTCTAGTAAAACACGAGATTACTGTCCTTGGTTATGTGTGTACAAACTGAAAAAGCGTAAATTACCAATCAACCACTGCTTAAAGTACACAAAGCTGAAAAGCATAACACAAAATCCTGAATGTAAAAACTTGATAAGAATCATCAGTCTGGGGTCACAGAAATGGCTTAGCAGGTAAAGTATTTTCCATGCAAAAGCCTGACAACCCAAGGAAGGATCTCAGAACCCACTTTTCAGCACCGCCCTCTGACTGCCATCTGTGTAGTGTGGCACACACTGCTTTCATCGCACATGCATGCTGCACACGCACACACCACACCAAACACCCACACACACTCACTAGTCTGTCAGACAAAATACAGAATGACTCCGGTTTATAACACACATGGAAAAAACTAAGCGTTTTAAGGAATAATCAATGATTAAAGGAAAACACTGAGGAGCTGACTCCCTGTGCTCCCTTGTTCCTCTGCCAAAAGTGTATGTACATGGTTGTGCTTTTGGAAAAGCTGAGAACCTAACCACAGTTGCAGCACAAGGGAGGAACACCTGATTAATGTGCTCAAAGGCCTGGGCATTAATTCCAGTATAGCAGAAATCAAAACAGACACAACCTTTTCACCTGAAAACTAAACAACTTAGAAAAGAATCCAGGCCCTTTATGGTGTGACTTCACCATCACTCTTTGTACTTCACACCTGGCATCCCGCCATGTTAAACATGGTTCCTGGGAAACTGACTAACTCTGTTTTCTGGGGATACCATTCTCCTCTCATCCTTTCTTTCTAGGAATTTCTACCTGTATTTCAAAAAACTCAATTTAAAAAGTCTTTCATGCTGTGTACACATTTGTGTAACGTGTGTTTACATGCTGTAATATGTGTGCGCGCACATGCATGTGGAGGCCAGAGATGAATGATGAGTATCTTCCTTAACTACTTCTCCATGTTTTTGTGAAACAGGGTCTCTCACTGAACATGGATTTTACTAGCCCTTTCTCTCTACCTTCCTAGCACTGGGGATTACAAGCAAACACCACCACACATGGCTTTTTACATAGGTGCTGGGTATTCAAATTCGGGTTCACATGCTTGTACTAGAGGCACTTAACCAACTGAGACATCTCTTCACCTCATTGTTACACATTTTCCTGAGATACTTGGGTAGAATTCATGTCCAAAAACTGTGCTACAAATACTCTTTGGATAGAGTACCATATAAATATTTCAAATTCTTGAGCAAACTATATTATAGTGGCCTCCCTTAATAGACTCTGTCATAGCCCATCCTGTCTGGCCTCAAACTCAAAACCATCCTGCTTCACATATGCTAGCATGTACCACGTACCATGCCTGGTTTACAATGATTTTTTAAGTCAAATTATCAGATTCTACTTGATTTTTCTTCTGTTGTGGTGGTGGTATTTTTTTTTGTTTTGTTTTGTTTCTTTGGGTTTTTTTTGAGGGGGGGGGGATAAGGGATGGGGACAGGGTCTTCCTATGAAGCCCAGGCTGACCTCATACTGATGAGCCTGCCTCAACCTCCCAAGTACTAATATACTCAGTCCAGACTCAAAACTTATGAGCTACTAACCTGGACAAGCTACTAAACACATCTCTCCTCATCAGAACAATAGAAAATAGTAATAGGAACATCCAAACACTTAGCATGGGTACATAGAAAATTAAACGGTAGCAGTTAGTAAATGTAATTTAGCAATAGGAGTATGTCAATTTCCAAAACATGCCAATGTCCAGTAAACAGGAAAAACTAAAATGAAGGATTAGTAAAAGTCAAGTTCACTTCAAAAATATTATTTTTATAGTATATAAATAATGCAGTCTTAAAAGTCTCATGAATAAAAGTTGGCTGTTTATACTTTAGTAATTACTCAAAACTACTTACCTGTATAGAACTTTAGCTACACAAGCCATTGCTCTACTATTTCTTATACGGTGCAAAGTTTTAAAACAAACTCTGACTACATCTACCTATAAAATACTCAAAGGTAAAATGCTTGAAGAAATTCTGGAATGAAATGAAGTTAATGTCTAGGGAAGCTAGGGAGTTTGAGGATAGAGAAATCTATCCGAATCTACTATGAAATTCTCAAAGAATAAAACTACTAAAACAACAACAAACAAACCCTCAATAACAACTAAACCAATCAAGCAACCAAAAACATTAGAAGCTCATTTTTAGGATATGTTTAGGAAGATGTTTTTTTTAAAAAAAATTTCATACAGACTCTAAAACACAACAAAAATAAAGAAATGGATTTTTAAAAAAGCCTAAAACTTTCTCTTCCTTCCCACCAAACCCTATTGCTCTGTTTTACACAGAAAAATGGTTGATTATTACATTTGCCTGGTCAAAGATATTGTCTTTTGAAAACAAAGGGCATGTACATTGCTACCGTGGTCTAAGTACATATACCCTGTACTTATACAGAAACATCAGCAACTCTAAAGGGAATTCTGTAGCTAACAGTCTAGCCACCACTAAGAAGTGATGTCATCTCCAAACATACACCACTGTTAAGACTCCTCACCTAAGATGCATGAAGCTATGGATGATGGTGCATGTGCTAATTCCAGCATGCAGGAGGCAGAGGTGGGTTTCTGTGAGTTACATGCTGGTCAGGGATACATAGTGAGATCCTGTTTTGTTTTGTTTTCATATGAAAAAGTGCAGTTAAGTCTATTGTTTTTTGTTTTGAAACACAGTTCTGAGAACTTGAAGATATAAGGAAAGGAACATATATACTATGTTATAGAAAACCACAAAGTACCTAGGAAAACCTTTTATATACCCTAGTTATTTCCAAAGAGATTAAATTCTACCTCTCTTGGTAAACCAAAAGAAATTCCAGAAACCTGACTGGAGAAACGGCACACCCGAGAGTACTGCTCAATCCTGAGGACCAGAGTTCAGATACTAGCACCCACATCTGGCTCGCAAACACCAGCTCAAAGGTATCTGACACTCTCTCTGGCCTCTGTGAGCACCCAAACACATATGTGCACACATTCACACACACAAATTAAATAAAAAAATTTCTACCCTTAAATTTTCAAAGGCACACTGGTATCTACAAACTCTACCACAAATTTTCCTAGTAATATTGTATTCAAAAACTTACCTCCTGTATACCAAGACAGAGGTAATAGATGCTGTCAGGTGCATAATTCTCTCCGTTTGGTCGTCGGATCTCATTAACAAAATGGGCTAACCCATAGTTGAGCTCAGCTGTGGTATGAGAGAGTAGATCTTCTTTTAACTTTACTGATTTAGCTAAAAAGAAATAAAATAATCAGCAATTGTCATGTCTCTGCACCCATGTTGGACAGCTCATAACTGCCTTTAACTCCAGCTTTAACTCTGAGGCCCTCTTCTGGCTTTCACAGGCACCCATACACACATGGAATATATTCACAAACATACATACAGAGACAAAAATAACATTAAATCCTGGAGTAGAGACGACAAAGTGATTTAAGAACAATGACCATTCTTCCACAGGATCTAGGTTGATCCCCAGCACCCACATGGCAGCTCACTACTGTCAGTAACTACAGTTCAGGAACTCCAACAGTCTTTCTGGCCTTGGTGGGCACCAGGCATGCAGGTAAAACACTCATGCACATTAAATAATAAATCTTAGGGGGGAACAAGACATTAAATATTTAAAAATATTAAAATTAATTAATTACAGAAAAAAGATTTTTATACAGAACTTATGATAACAAAACAAAAACACTTACAGGATTTTAGCTCATCTAATACCAGAAGATCTTCATCAAGCTGCCTAGTTTTGACCCAGTGTTTCCATGCATTTACACCATATGAATACTTGAAAGGAAAGCTGCATTCCGAGTTGTCAGAACTATCATCATGAGACTGGTATCCTGACACAGCTTTTCTTTTGGTACCCTGGCAATAAAATAGCACTGTAAATCCTTCCTTTATTCTACATTATTCCATGACTTCTATACAAGGTATCTTTGAAGAAAGACAACTAAAAAAGAACTGTATTTATTTGTGTGAGAATTGGCTTATACTCTGACAACTGATGATAGTTATCCATACTACTTCTTGAAATCTACCTCCATGAATGTTTCCATACACATTACTTTGCATAATAAAATTAGAATTAATGAAAAATACAAGATAAATAATAATAATAGAAGGGTTCTAAATGTCAACTTGAGAAATCTTCTAATAACTTCCACATATTAGAAATTTACTCTTAATCCCAGCACTTAGGAGAGAGAAACAAGTAGATATCTGCATTTAAGGCCAGCCTTGTCTACAAAGTGACTTTCAGGATAGCAGGGCTACAGAAAAACCCAGTCTCGAACCCCACCCCCCAAAAAATGCATAAGTAAAAAAAATTAAACTTACTCTTAGACAAGCAGAGGTGGTGCACATTTTTAATTCCAGCACTTGGGAGGCAGAGGCAGGCAGATCTCAAAGTTAAAAGGCCAGGCTGGTCTACAGACTGAATTCCAGGACAGCCAGGACTATACAGAGAAATTCTGTCTTGAAAAACCAAAACAAGCCGGGCGGTGGTGGCGCACGCCTTTAAGGCAGGCAGATCTCTGTGAGTTCGAGACCAGCCTGGTCTATAAGAGCTAGTTCCAGGACAGGCTCCAAAACCACAGAGAAACCCTGTCTCGAAAAAACAAAACAAAACAAAACCAAAACAAGAAAAAAAGAAATGTACTCTTTATTTGGTTTTCACTGTTCTTTGTTTCCTTTCTTCTCTTATTAGTGCTGAGGATCAAATCCAGGAGCATGCACATGCTAAGCAAGTATTTGCCGTTACTGAGTCACAACCCCAGTCCCTTCCTTTCAATGTTTGATGGTAAAGTTGACTGCTTGTTTGTTTGTGAGAAAGGGTACCCGTATTTAGCCCAGATACTCTCAAGCTCACTATGCCCAAAAGGTCATGAAGACTTAGGCCTAAGTTTCTATTTTTAGCTCTAACATTTAATACTATGACTCATTTCAGTTAATGGCTGTGTATAGTGTCTTTTGGAAAGGTTTTTTTTGTTCTGTTTTGAAGACAGGGTTTCTCTGTGGAATAATCCTGGCTGTCCTAGAACTTGCTCTTTAGATCAGCCTAGCCTCCAATTCAGAGATCCGTCTGCCTCTGCCTCTGCCTCTGCCTCTGCCTCCAGAGTACTGGGGTTAAAGGTGTGCACCACCACACCCGTCTGTGTATGGTGTCAAATAAGAGCTCACTTTTATCCTACTATGGATACTCACTCCCTTTTTTAGCTCTTTCTTTCGACATAAATTTGTGAAAGTCATTTTTTTTTTACAATGCCTTTGATCTGGCCTTGTGTTCAAAGTCAGAAACAGTAAGTTGTTGATACAATATTAAACAAATTTAGATTTTCTATGTCTGAATGATCAAACTGTCTGGTTCATATCTAGTTTTTTTTTGTTTTATTATTGTTTTGTTCTATTATTTTAGGGGTTTTTTGTTGTTGTTGTTCATTTGTTTGGTGATGTTTGGTGTGAAACAGTATGCCATTTATCTCAAGCTGGCCTCAAACCTATGATCCTCCAGCTTCTAATTTCCTGCTAGAATTACAGGCATGTACCATGACATCCAGTTTATGTAGTGCTGAGAATCAAACCCAGGATTTCCTGTATGGTAGGCAAACACTCTACCACTGAGATACATATCCCCAGATCCCAACATGTCTTTCTCTCTGTGCTGGCATGTTTAAGAATAAATTATAGGCCGGGCAGTGGTGGCGCACACCTTTAATCCCAGCACTTGGGAGACAGAGGCAGGCAGATCTCTGTGAGTTCGAGCCCAGCCTGGTCTACAAGAGCTAGTTCCAAGACAGGCTCCAAAGCTACAGAGAAATCCTGTCTTGAAAAACCAAAAGAAAAGAAAAGAAAAGAAAAGAAAAGGATAAATTATACCTCTTCTGTATTGATTAACCTAATGAAAAATAATGATGAAAAAACTAACCCTTGAAAATCATCAATTCCTTCCCTCTTCTCCTTTTTGAGACAACCTTCCTGCCTCAGCCTACCAGTGATTAGTTATGTGCTACCATGCTCACCTAGAATCTAAATATTCTATTATTGTCAGAGTTGAATTTCCTTTCTAAGACAACTACTTTCTATTTTGACCTTGTATTAAGATACATTTTAACGGGCTGGAAAGATGGCTCAGTGGTTAAGAGCATTGCCTGCTCTTCCAAAGGTCCTGAGTTCAATTCCTGGCAACCACATGGTGGCTCACAACCATCTGGAATAAGGTCTGGTGCCCTCTTCTGGCCTGCAGGCATACACACAGATAGACTATTGTATACAAAACAAATCAATAAATAAATATTTTTTAAAAAAGATACATTTTTAACATTTATCTTCCTATATTGTCAAGCACAAAAAAACAATGCATCTTTCTCTGTCTGGGATGCTGCTATAGAGATACTAAGTGACTACGAGACATAAAAATATTAACGAATTCTGTACCTTTTTTTTAGATCGAGGTCTGGGCTGCTCCTCATATTCTTCTCCAAAAACAGGTGGTAACAAAAACTCGTTTTCCATATCAAGCTCCTCTGCAGCTGACAAATTAGAAAATCTTTTATTGTAAATAGAACAGTAAAGGTTTACATTACACAAACACAGCAATAAAGAATAGTCACATGGCATGAATGATGATTCAGATGTGAGGATAAGTTTGAGGTAGGCTAGGCAGCACAAGACTAGGATAGAAGTCCGAGTTTAGATAAATCCACAAGTATAAATACATAAATTTCATAGAACTATATGATACTAGAAAAAGTAAACAACTAAAACTTTAGTTGGAAGACCTAAAATGCCAATCCTATTTAATCTATTAACTCTTTTTCATAGCATGCTTTATATTTCCCTCAATACGAACTCAAAATTAGGGAGAAAATGAGAAAAGGAAAGCATGCTATGGAATTCACTTTAGAAAGTCTATAACGGCTAAGAAGCAATGGAATATGTTATAGCACAAATAACAAAAACCCAGAGACAGAATATAGCCTTTTCATTTGAACACGAATTCAACATTAAGAAAAATGCTATCAAACTTGACATGCTGACACACTTATGATCCCAGCACTAGACAGGCTGAGGCACAGACTGAGGGGAGTAGGGGCCAACCCAGAATATAGAACAAAACCCTATCTTGATCCCTACCTCCACCCCACAGTATCAGGACCTTTGAATTGAAAAGAAACAAGTATTATATTCTTCTCTAGTGTCTAAAGCTCCTGTAATGAATTAAGTTGTCGATGGGAAAGGAAGAACAGGATGAAGGATACAGCTAGGTGGAAAAGAGGAGAGGATGAAAAGCACATCCCCTCATCCCCACAAGTATGGAGACAATAAGTAATGACATTAACATTGATGATTAGTTATCTTAAGTACAACTTTATAACTTGATTTTAACAGTGATAAAGTAGTATTTAAGTACCTCTAGGGAAATCTATTTCGATATCCAAATCTGGTTCATATGGTACATCAGGCATGTTGGATTGTATATCTGTGTCCGAGTTCTTTGTGAAATCCGAGCCAATTATGTCAGTCTCAATAATTACACCTGTAAATAAACAATATTTTATTAGAAATTAAATTTTCAAAAAAATTCAACAGTATCTATACTTAATCTGCCAAAGAAAGAAATGCATAACTATCTTAATAAATAAGCTACTATAAAATTTGTAACTATAATTGGAAACTTTTAATACTATACATTCTGGCTATCCCTTCTCAAAAAATAAATAAATGTTAGAACACTAAAACAATGCCCATCTTAAGAGTACCTTTCTGTGTGTGTTTGTGTGTAACAGACAGACATCGACACAGAGAGACAAGTATATACTTGCTGGCGTGGCATAGGTGCATCCACACAGATGGGCATGCATGTGGAAACCAGAGATTGATGTGTTTTTCTTTGTTTACTGGATCCACCTTTCCTCCTCGTTCTACCTTCTCCCTTCACTGGGGTGATTGCACGAGCCACTGAGTGTGACCCATTGAGTTCTGAGGGTCTAAATTCAGGCTCTCATACATGTGTCACAGACACTTTACCGAATGAGCCATTTCCACAAGTAAATATTCTTAAAAGCAATTCCTTGTCAGAAATAAATTTAAAAAAGTAAATAACTAAAATTTTCAAACAAACTTTTTGAATTTTGACCAAGCTTCCACATAACTCAGTATATACTTGTTTGTAATTAACATATTTGTTTGGATCAGCTGCTTAACTTTCTTGATGTTGTATAGTTACAAATGCACTCTATTCAATATGTACTGCAAAGTGATGGTTAGTCTCCAGACAGAGAAGTAAGACAAATGCATGCAAATAGAGAACAAAGGGTTCACAAAACAGCACGACATTCTTATAAAGGATTGATGATATGGTTCCTCATTCTTTTTCCACGGAATCTTGCTATGTCATGTACTGGGCACAACTAGAACTCACACTCCCGAGTACAGCGAGTAAGTGATTATGTTTTGTTTTAATTAAAAACAAAAACCATACCAGTAGTTATAGTCCACTAAAATTTTACGATCCCCTAACAACACTACAAAACTGCTACTACAATTGTCTTCTAGTGTAAAGGCAATCAGGTAATTCAGGACTAAAAAGGGATTCTGAATATTACCTAAAGGCTAGGAGTAAGAATAAATATTCCAAGGAACAGAACTAGCCACAAATTATCTATTAGGTAGCAAACAGTATCCAAACAGAAAGTGGAATAAATTCTGATTTAGATAAAGCAAATTATATTTAATTCATGTAAGAAATAGAATAACACTGGAAAGTATCCATCATAAAATAAAATCTTGGAAACCTACAAGTTACTAAGAAAAATAACTCCACTGAAGTTCAAATCAAATTCTATTACTATTAAAAAAAAAAACAGGGAGTGAGTGGCTCAGGAATCAGGAGCAAATGACTGCTCTTGCAGAGAACCGGGGTTCAGTTCCTACCCCACATAGTGACTCACAGTCACCTGTAACTCCGTTCCAGAGGACACCACACTATTTTCTGACTTCCCCAGGTACCAGGCACACAAGTGATGCAGCTCTCACACTCATAAATAAACCTTTTAAAAACGTTTGATATTTTTGAGAGCACAAGTAAGTGTGTGGTGGTAGGTAAAAATAATCTATCTACTTGGGAGGGTGAGGCTAGAAGCCCTGTTCAGTCCAAATGTTTCTGTCCAAAGCACATACCAAGACTCCATCTCGAGAGAGAGAAAAAATGGAACAATCATTTCATTGGAAATTAATCTTAGAATTAGAGCATACCTGGATCAAGGTGGAATGTGTATCTCTCTTTTCAAAAATATTTATTATTCTACAGGTGTTTTGTATGCATTACAGTATTTGGGCCCCACTTACATGTCTTACGCCTGTGAAGCCAGAAGAGGGCATGAGAACCTCTGGAACTAGAATTGTAGACAAATGTGGGCATGTGGGTGTTGGAAGTCAAACCCAGTCTTCTACAACAACAGCTCATGCTGTTAACTGCTAGGCTAAAGTGTGTATCTCTTAATATAAAATACACTTCTGCTATATATAATTCCTTCTCCTACTCCCATATTAAGTTTTGTTGCAAGATTCATCTGTACGTACTGTAACAATGACAATGCACAGAACCCATTCCCCAAACCACTTATTGACAAACTGTGATATAGTATGGCTCACTGTTGACATTGGATGCCTCTGTTTTCCCCTCATCTTCAGTCATCATATCTGGCATTGTAAGCAATTCTGTATCAAGAGGACCTGAAGAAACTTTGCTTTTTACATCTTCAACCGTGGCAGGAATCTTCTCACTGCTGTCCAATGGAGCAGGCAGAAACAGAGGAATGGGCACCTAATTAACCAAAGCATTTAATGTTAGGTATATTAAAGAATAAAAGAAATTTCCACAAATTAAATGCATAATATATTACTATATAAATACACTAAAGAAGAAAATCTTTGGGAAGAATACATATCAAAACTAAGATGTGTACTATGGCAAGGAAACCCCAAAATATATACTTTAAAAAATAAAAATTAAGAAAAAAAAAGCTAAGTTCAAATGCACTATTCTGCATATTACAGGTGATTTGTAATGAAGTGAACATTTTAAGAACCTCTAGTTGGGCTGGACAGATGGCTCAGATGTTGAGAGCACTGGCTACTCTTTCAAAGGTCCTGAGTTCAATTCCCAGCAACTACATGGTGGCTCACAACCATCTATAATGAGATCTGGTTCCCTCTTCTGGCCTATAGACATACATGCAAGCAGAACACTATACATAATAATAAATAAATCAAAAAAACAAAAAACTCTAATCTATGTTTCATTTTTAAATCTTATGGTTTCACAAAACATTTCTTTTGAAGATGAATTCAAATGTATAATCAACAATGTCACAGTACATACACTCATCTGCTCAACTTAACTCTTTGAGATGACCATATAAACAAATATCATCATGATAACAGGAAACTGACAAAAACCTAACTGTGGAAGAACAAAAAAGATGGCTTCTGCTGGGTGTAATGTCAACTGCTCTTCATATGCTCATGTGTTTGATCATTTGGTCTCCAGCTGCTGGTGCTGCTTTGAAAGGTTGAGGAATCATTAGAAAGAAGAAAATCTCTTTGGAGGAAATGACACTTGAGTCAGGCTTTAAGGTTTTATAACCTAGCCCTACTTCCTGTCTTCATCCTAACTGGAGATGCAGGAAGACCAGCAGCTCTCTCATGCTCTTGCCTCCATGCCCTCCCTCCTAAATCATGAACCAAAATGAAGATCCTTCTCACATTGTAAGTCCCTTTTGTCACAGTAACTGTAACAAGTACAGCAGTACCAGCAGCTAGGGACCATCCCAAACTGCCTGCAAAAAACAAGAATGAGAGGGTGAATCTCACGCACAGGAACAGGAACTGTGGTAGGGACAGGAACACTCTGGCTGTACATGTGCATAGGCACGGGCACATAGACAGGTACAGGAATAGGCACTGGGACATACTCTGTCTTCCAATTCTCATCTGCAAAACAAGATATAGGCAAAAAAGAACATGTGTTTTGCTTTGTTTGAGACATAATATCACACTGTTCTATGCACAAGATGACCTTGAACTCCTGGTGCTCCTCCTGCCTCAGCCTCCCACATCCTCAGAATACAGGTATGAGCCACAATAATGGCTCTTTGTTTTTATAAACTTGCTTGCAGACCAAGCTGGCCTTACACTCATAGGTATCCTCTTGTCTCTGTCTCCCCAAAGGGCAATTAAAAGCATAGAAACACTAAGCATGACTTTTCATTTTTGACAATCTCTTTTTGTTTCTTTGGTTATTTGGTTTCATAATGAACTTAACTGGACAACAAAGGAAAATAACTTTGTACTCATTTTAAAAGAAATTGCTACAGGGTGGTGATGGCACATCCTATAAATTCCAGCAGAAGCAGGCTGATTTCTGTTAGTTCAAGGTCAGCTTGGTCTACAGAGCAAGTTACAGGACAGCCAGGGATACAGAGAGAAACCTTGTCTCAAAAAATTTTGAGGGCTGGAGAGATGGCTCAGCGGTTAAGAGCATTGCCTGCTCTTCCAAAGGTCCTGAGTTCAATTCCCAGCAACCACATGGTGGCTCACAACCATCTGTAATGAGGTCTGGTGCCCTCTTCTGGCCTTCAGGCATACACACAGAAAGAATATTGTATACATAATAAATAAATAAATAAATAAATAAATAAATTTTGAAAAAGAAAATTTCTAATTTCTGTAAGATTTAATAAACTTTAAACAGTAAAACTTTCTGTTGTTTTCTGCAACAACTGTTCTAACTTAAAACAAACACAGCTTACATCTTTTTAAAAAATGAAAACACACACACACACACACACACACACCCTTAAAAAATATCCAGCAGACTGTTCTGGCAATTCCCCTCAGTTTATTTACTTCAACAATTAAAATGTAGCAAACACTGAGCTGCACAGTAGCCCACTCCTGTAATCCCAGCAATCAGGAAGACTGTATTTAAGGCAAACCTGTACATGGCAAGATAGAATCCTCCCCCAAAATCAAAAGAAAACTAAGAATTAATGCTACAGATGTGAAATCAGTACAAAATTATTTAATATCTTTCTAACCAGAAGGAAACAGAACTATCATTGTTATAGACCACAAAATCATTATCTCAACAGGAACTAAGCAATTGTAGGTCTCAATCCAAGAAAAGTTTTATTTATAAAAGTGTGATTTTTAACAAGTTATACTCTGGGTCTTTAATCAGCTACTAACAGATCACAAGTAATTTAAACAATATGCTTTATTCCCGAGGTGATATTAAAAACAGAAAAAATAAAAAAAAATCACAGAAGAAAATCAAAGGACACAATGTCTTAACAATCTATTTTGTAGTCTTCACCCTAGAAAATCACGCATTTTAGTTCAGTAAAGTCTAAGCAGATGGAGATATAAATCAAAAGTTCCTAAATTACCTGTCTGACAAGATTTGGTCTGCATGTGAGGCTTACAGTAAGTTGCTTTTGTCATTGTTAAAGGTTTGCAAAGAACTGCTTTGTTCTTCATCTCTTTGTTTGGTGTAGGAGAAGGGGGTGGTGCTGAGCCCTACAGAGAAACAAAGAGACACATTTTATTTCTTTAATTTTTATCCTGATACCAATAATCTGTTTTCTTTCCACTTTTCCTCTCTCTTTTCTTTCTTGAGAAGGGGTCTTACTATGTAGCTCTAGCTGTCCTGGAAACCAATATGCAGCTAAGCTGGCCTAAAACTACCTTTTTTTGCCCCCAGAGTGTTAGAATTAAAGGCATTATCTGTTTTTCAAGTCCTAAAGGGACTTACTTTCACAAAAAAGTGGAAAAGTATAACCAAAAGCTATTACTACTAGTTTATCAGTCTTAATCTCGAAAGGTCAATGTGAATTTACTCTAAACACTACCCAGCAGCAGAATTCATTCATTTCTATAAATAAGAATTTTTTTTTAATTTTTTTATTTTTATTTTTATTTTTTTTTTTGGTTTTTCGAATCAGGGTTTCTCTGTAGCTTTGGAGCCTGTCCTGGAACTTAGACCAGGCTGGCCTCAAACTCACAGAGATCCGATAAGCATGTTTTAAGGGAAAAAATATGAAAACAATTATCTCTTAATTATCAATTATTAAGCCAGTCAGATCCTGACTCCAAACAAAACAACAGCTCAGCTTGACTTTTGACTATGGATACAGAGCTAAAATATTACAATGCAAAGAAAATAGCTTTGTAAGACACAGGTCTTAACAGCCATAATGGCATCCTAGTCCAAGGACATGAAGAGTTATATCTCTTGGTTATTCTCTGCTTTTGTATTAAAACTACCCAGTAAACTTTCTAAATCACAATTTCTGAGTTGGAGTCTAGATATCACAGTTCTGAAAATCTGATACGTGATCTTTGCTGAAGCAAAAAATTAGTAACTACAAATCATCATCACCATCATCATCTTGACCACAATTAGGGCTAGTACAGGCTTTTTAGGATGAAAACAAATGACTCCTTCAAGCACAGAGCTTCATTTGAACAAGGATGCTATAAATTCCAGAAAAGTCAACATACTGAAGGCAATCAATTTCCCACTGTTCAAGGTATAGCAAAACACTACTTAAGCTCTTGAGTAATCATTACATGTAAATGGCCACTATCAACCTATAAAATTCTTAAAATGATAATTAAGGATTGCTGCATAGTACCAAAAGACAGAAAAAGACTAAACAAAAAAGGATTGGAGCATATTATGTACATATTTTTCAGGTTTAAAAGACTCTACTACGAGATCTTTAAATCACTGCTTTTAGCTTCACTTTCCTTATGCTCTCAGACATCCCTATCAGGATGGATCCTAATGTGCTGCTCTGTACTTCTCATGTACTTTTTCCTACTGATCCTCCTGACAATGTCCTACTGACTATTTACCACTGACCCATTCATACTTTCCAAGACGACAGGCAGAGGGAAAGAGAGAGCAAGAAATCATCTCAAAGCTATGGCTATGTCAACTCAAATCCCCATTTGGATAGAGGCCATCAACAATTCATTTTTATGTTCCTTTTATGTTTCTGATACTAGTAAGCTGAATGTTTCCACTATTTCAACAAAGTAAAAACCTTTCATGATGATATTAGTACAGCCTAACTATTTTTCACTCATACTGTAAACCACATCACAGCACTGAACTGAGAAAATACTCACTGTTATTTTGGTTCGGGACGTCTGACAGCCCTGATCTAAAAAACAAACATTTAAAATAAGACAAATAACACTTTCTTGACATTTTTTAAATCTCTATATATCATTAAATCTTACCAATTTCCAAATTTAAACAAAGAGTACAAAAAAATGGAGATGAGCATAGCTGATTTTCCTCTTTGCTCTCTCCGAATACAAAATATTCTAAGAAATACTGCTTAAGTAAAATAAAAGGCCACAATTTCGAAAAGTTGTTGCTCCTTCCAGGCCACAAATAGTACATAATCTGCTAAGAAAGCTTCTTATCTGGATAGATTATTTTTAAAATGTTTTTAATAGTTTAATTTCTCTAATTTAGTTCAATGATGTCCAATATTTTTCCGCATACAGGTTTTTAAAGGGGAATAAGATAAGCAATGGACCTAAAGAAAGTATGGGGTTCATTTCAATTGTTATTTTCCATCCATATATAAACTACGAGAGACCTGACCTTTTCCAATGGGAGACTTACTAGAATTATATAAAACCTATGGTCTTTCTCTACCATTGATCCATGCCCCAGTCTTAATAACTATCTTCAAATCAACTGCTTATTTATCAATGCTTGGAATTCAAAATTAGAAAAATAAAGAATATAAAGTCTTTAAGTGGGGGGCTGGAGAGATGGCTCAGCGGTTAAGAGCACTGTCTGCTCTTCCAAAGGTCCTGAGTTCAATTCCCAGCAACCACATGGTGGCTCACAACCATCTGTAATGAGGTCTGGTGCCCTCTTCTGGCCTACAGGCATACATGCAGACAGAATATTGTATACATAATAAATAAATAAATATTTATTTTAAAAAAAAAGTCTTTAAGTGGCCACAATACATACCATAATGTAGGTTTTCGGGTCCTTTTTGGGTAGTCATATTGGGCTCATTTTGCTGACAGTAGAAACGTAGTAAGCAGTGTTGATCACAGAAATGTTTCATCTCCCCACGCCACTGCACTCGCTCTTTAAGGGTGCCTTGGGATTTACAGCAGTCACATCTCGCAGCCTTAATAAGAAGGGAAAGTGCTCAGACATTGTAAATGTTAATATACACATTAGCTGACAAAAGTGATGAGAAAGTACTGAAATGGTATCAAAGCAAAAATTAAAATTGTAGGTCACATACGAAGACTAAATCCAATCCTATATTACCAAAATCAAAACAAAAAACAAACAAACAAAAAAAGCCAATAATGGCTAGAGAGATGGCTCAGCAGTTCCTGTATTTGCTGTGCAATCATTAGGACTGGAGTTCTGATTCTAGCATCCGTAAAACTGAGGATCCTATTAATACCCATAAATGTACTTCTAAGGGATCTCACGCCCTCTTATGGTATCCATGTGCAGGCATGTGCACCTATACACACACACACATGAATCATTTTTTAAAAATTAAATGAGCATGATTAGACAAAAACTGATAGAATTTACTTGAAAATAATTTTGAAACTGAGCATGGTGGTAGGCACAAAAATTATCCTAACAGTCAGCAGGCTAAGCCAAGAAGTTGGCAAGTTTGAGGCCACCATGGGCTATACAACAAGTCTAGGTTGCATAGCAAGATCTTGACTCAAATAAAAATAAACAAAACAAAAACTTAAGCCAAACAATAGTGGCATAAGCCATTTTTTGAGAATCATAATCATAACAAGTAGAAGTCTCTAGAAATTATATTATCTTGGTTGGACAGTTCCTACAATAAGCAGATTTCCATGCTTAAATATAGAAGACCAGACTATTTTCTTTTAATTCAAAGAAAAGAAAATTAGTTAATTGAATGCACTGCAAGGTAACACTGGGCAATAAACAGGAACAACACCTGTAGGAAGACCAGAATAATTCTGAAGCAAGCTCTTATAGTATGGAAAACTCAATTATTTGTTTTCTGTGAATTTACTATAAAACTTAAAAAAAAAGTTTAATTTTCTGAGAAGAACTTTGAAAATGTGTTTTAAAAGAGCCAATATTTACTTGAAAAAAATTAAATAATTAATCAAGATATCCAATTAGAAGCCAGGTGGTGGTGACACATGCCTTTAATAACAGCACTCTGGAGACATATGTCCAGCCTAGTCTACAAAATAATGGAAACAGTTCCTATGTACAACTCTTATCAACAAAAGACTACTTGAGCCGGGCGGTGGTGGCGCACGCCTTTAATCCCAGCACTCGGGAGGCAGAGGCAGGCGGATCTCTGTGAGTTCGAGACAAGCCTGGTCTACAAGAGCTAGTTCCAGGACAGGCTCCAAAACCACAGAGAAACCCTGTCTCGAAAAACAAAACAAAACAAAAAAAAAAAAAAAAAAACTACTTGAAATCAAAGAAATGTTTCAGATTCTTTGTCCTTTTTTATAATCAAATCATAAGAAAGGAAATAAGTTTACAACCACTTACAATGAGTCAGAGCACTAATGAAAACCAATTGAAACTGCAGCCTGACTACCCCCCTCACTGAGAACCTGAGATTAAAAGCCGAACACTGACCTACTATCTACAGTTCTTACAACAGCCCTGCAAAATGGACAGGGGAAAAGATCTGACTAACATCAAATATTAAAAAGAAAGTTACAGAATTCCAGCAGAAAGCCAAGTCAAAATCTGTATTTTATCATGACCTCAGGATAGACTGGCAAACAGAAAATAAATAAGTAGAAAATAAAAGCCCTAATAAAAGTAAAACACACAAAATGGTTGTCAATTTAATATCTAAGTCAAAACTCAGTTTGTGTAAAATTTAACTAATTTCCATAGCATATGTACTATACTGGCTTTCTGAAAAGGCGGTATCAGGATGTTCAATCTTGCCTCAAACCCCATCAGTTATCTTACTTCCACATCCCAACTGCTAGTTTTTATCACATCTAACTAAAAATATCTTATCCCAAAATCTGAATAAGTCCTTCATTCTAAAAAATCTTATATACTTTGTTTTCCTACATCTAGCTCCTTTCTTTAAAAATATTAAAAACACTCTGTCCAAAAAAAAAAAAAACCAGGGCAGGATTAATATCAATTATACATAAAAAACAAATTTTCTACTTTTTTTCAAACTAGAAGGGTGGGAACTCAAAACTAGCAATTCTAAGCTTAATGCCATAAACAGAACTGTGAAGGCTGTAAACTTCTATTTATTTGATTTTATGTATCTAAGTATTTTAGTGGCAAGTAAGTCTGTGAACTATGTGTATGCCTAGTGCCCATGGAAGTCAGAAGAGTCAAAGCCCTAGAACTGGAGTTACTGGTGGTTATGAGCCTCAACATGAGTGCTAGGAAAGGAACCTGGATCCTCTGCAACAAAAGTAATGCTCTTAACCACTGAGCCATCTTCCTAACAGGGTCTTCTTATATAAGCTCAGGCTGGCATCCAACTGGCCATCCAGATGGTCAAGTTAAATTACAGGTGTGTAACACTTACATTCAGATAAACCAATTTTACTAATTTTTTTGGTTATCTATCAACACATTTTTTAATATTAACTTAAGAGACAGTTATAGTAAGTCTCTAAATACAGAAGCAACCTACTGCAAAGATCAGAAAATGTAGAATTTTTGAAATGTCCTAAGTAAAAAGCATATGGAACAGTTGAATGAGAATGCCAACACGTTTCCACATCTGAAGACTTGATCCCCAGTTGGTAGCAGAGACTTAGGTAGCCTTGCTTTAAAGAAGTCAGTCAGTGTGCAGACTTTGAAGAGGTAAAATCCACCTGCCACTTCTAGTTTGCTCTCTGCTTTGTGCTTACAACCCACACTGAGTTCTCAGCACTCTCTCTCCAGCCACCATAACAACCTGAACTCTGACATTATGGACTCTAACCCTCTGGAACCACGAGCCAAAATAAACTTTTGTATAGGTCACCTTGGCCATGATGTTTTATCACAATAAGAGAAATGTAATTAATACAGCATACCAGCAGAAAATTTGAAAGCATAATGTTAAATGCTTCAATGAAATTTATTTTGTGGTACTTGGCATCAAACTCCCACCTACTAAGTAATACAGCTAATCTCATTATTAAATTTAAATACTAAAAATATTTTATAAAATTATTTCAATTCTAGGTAGTCTCTCAATGTTATTGTGAATATTACAGAAAGGTTTGTGCGTTTTACATAAGAATTACTGTACTGGTGCAAAAGACACAGCAATTTGGAACTGTGAATTTAAACACTACTGTGTGTGTGTGTGTGTGTGTGTGTGTGTGTGTGTGTGTAACTAGGAACAAACACATCTTTATCCATAAAAACAGGAACCATTACAATTATCATCAGAGGGGAGAGTGAGAAATGAGAAACGTTTGTTAATTCCAGAAGTCTATGCTTTCGGATTTGGTAAACTCTTAGAAAACATTCTCTGTATTCTGCAGGTTACAGAAGCACTTTCCCTTCAAAAAGTTGTCAAAGTGCTTGAAAAAGTAGTACCTCATTGGCAAGAGATAGGGACAGTAATCTACCTCATCTTTGGGAGCATTAGTTGTGCAACATGTAGCGGGTGCTGTTGAAGAAAAGAATTGGTCTTTCTGGTGGCCAATGTCAGATACAGATGTTGGCAGTTTCCAGTGCATCTCATGGGTTTTCTGAGCAATTTCTCTATGGTTCAGAACACTGCAATGTATCAGGCAAGGCAGCAGACATCCCAACAGTGACTATTTTTAGGTGAATGTTTGGTCTTGAAGTGCTTTAGAACTGATTCTCAGTACAGGACTGAGCAGCCAACTGCCAGTCATATACAATTCAACTTTTTTCTTAAAGATTTTAACTTATATATTTGTGTATGTATGTCTCTGTGTATATATGTCACACGTATGTAGCTACCCAGAGGCTTGAAGAGGGTGTCAGATTTCCTACAGACATTTATGAGCCACCTTATTTGGGTCCTAGGAAATGAACTCAGGTCCTCTAGAAGAGCAGCAAGTGCTATTAACTATGAAGCCATCTCTCCAGCCATTATTTGTGTCAAATGTCACAATCTGACGAAGAAATTGTTGCTGAGCAGTGGTGGCACTCAAGAGGCACAGGCAGGGAAATTTCCATGAGTGAAGCCAGGACAGCCAGAGCTACATAGAGATATCCAGTCTCAATAAAATACAAGATAATTTCAGCCTATGAGACAGATACCTTTCCCACTACGACCTTTCCAGCTTGCCTCAAATACCTAGTGATCCTTTACTACTCACTCCTAATAAAGCTGTAAGAAGTTCAGCTTCACTGACTGCTTTCCAACAGTCACTGTTAACTTCTCATGGCTGATTACTACCCTCCGTATCTTCAACGCTCAGGTCTGCTTTGCAAAATCCCTTCAACCAACACAATGTACTCTACAATTTGCTAGCAGCACTTGGGCCAAATACACTGCTGATGTAACTTGAAAAAAAAGTTACTTCTGTGCTTTATGACTCACTCTGAACTCAAATCTGCTTTTTGTCTAACATACTTTCCATAGTATAAAATAAGTAAGAAAGAGGTCACTAGCAAAACAAAAAGTGAGAAATGAGCACTAAAATGAGATATAGAACCACATTTATTATATAAGAATATATTTCACTATAAAATGACAAACTTCAACAGCGCAAAACCTGACATTACTTTTACACCAACATAACATTACACAGAGATCTTATACATTTTGAAATGTACTGCTTCACTGAATTGTCCTAACTGAGCACTATGTAAATGAGCACTATCAGCATGTACAATTAACTAGTATGTATGAGGTCCTAGATTCAATCCCCAGCACTAACAAAATTAAAGTAATAAAATGGAACATAAGACAACAATGTGGTCTTTTACTAAACAGCACATTTTTACTTGTCATCAAAGAAAAAGAAACTCTAAGATTTCTCTATTTTCATTATAGGTAATAGAAAGAGAATATTCAAAAAAGAGGTAGGAAAGGGCATAAAAGAGGAATAAAAATAATAAACAGAACAGCTAACTCAAAAATGCATTTAGTTTATTCTATAAGCAAAAACCAAAATCTCCAAAGTTAAAAAATATTTTAGGTTCACAATTAGGTAGAAACTTTAACAGTAAAATAATTACAAAGAAATTATTATCACATCATAATAACTACTTTCTCAAGAAGTGAATGATAAAAAGGAATAAATGGCACTTTTAAATATGTAGTCACCAAACACCTTTACTGTTTTTGTGATTATTAAAAACAAAATTTCAAAACTAAAACTTCTTATCCCTAGCACCATCCAAAAAAAAATAAAAATAAAAATAAAAATAAAAATCTGAGGATGAAATACATTGTTGGAGCACTGATTTAAAAGGCTATGAGTTTGATCTCTAGAAGGGAAAACAAACAACTTAATAAAACCTAACCTGAAGGTAACAGAGTATTTGTGTGTGTTTACAAAAATTAAGCATTAATAATATCAAAGTAGTAAGTGAGGGAAGTTTTCTTAAATACACTACACAATAGAATGAAACACTATTTTAAACTATGAAAGTATGAGCAGAGTGTTAAAATGTGTGTTTATAACTTTGGACTTTGAAATTTAAATCACCCAAAAGCAATTCATTCATAATCAAGTTTCTGAAAAACACCAAAACCATTTTATGAAGCTACACCACTGAAAATACATGAAATCTCAATTATTTTACCTCTGGCCAGGAAAGTATTCTTTAGCTAGTATGATGATTTTCAGATATATCATTAATACTAATCATCTTCATAAAGTGAATGAACTACATCAGGTTCATCAAACTTCATCTGTCTCACAATTCAGGAGTCATGTTATCTATCTTCACATGCTTTAAAACTGTATCCATAATGAAGCTTTTACCACTGAGGTACTTTTCCATGTTATCAACATAGAAATTAATACTTTTTTTGTATAATATCTAACTTTCTCTTGGGTAACATCTGATGATACAAATTCCAAATAATCTTTAATTTCTTATCTAAAAAAGAAGTAGCCAGGAAAGGTGGTACACACCTTTAATCCCAGCAGTTAGAAAACAAAGAACTGTGATATCAAGGTCAGCCACTGCTACACAGTGAAACCCTGTCTCAAAAAAAGTAGTTAATGCAATGGGCCAAAGGTCATTACTAACTTTTAAAGTCTTTTATAAGACACACACCAGGAGTTGTTCCACAAAGAAGCATTTACATGTGAACCTACATACACGTAAAAGCAAAGACTTACAAAACACTAGCCAAATATTTAAAGCCACTACCGCTTTGCTAAATATTGACAACAGACTCATTAAATAAAAATTGGAGAAATATCTATTTTATGAAGCTATAACACTGAAAATACACGAATAGCCTAATGGTTGGTAGCACCTAAATTCTTAAGAAAAATAATATTAACTCTATTTCACTTTATAAAAAACAAGTAGAAAAGACAAAAACCATCTTAATGAACATCAGAAACAGGGCTAGGCATAAAGTATGCAAATTTAAGTAACAAAGAGTTAAATAATAGCTACCAAGAATTTTAAAAGACTACCCAAAGTAGTCATTGTAATCAGAATAGTTGTTACTTGCCTTGTAGTACCACTCCTGAAACTTTTTACAGCAGTCATCACTGCAGAAGTCTCTGAGAACCCCATCAAGCTCTTTAGTGGCTCCCTTCTTACACAGCTGAGAACAATAGTTGCACGTAACACATCTTAATCCTAATCGTCTTGCAAAATCTTGTTTGTATAATAGCTTGCAGCCTGAAAAATGTTACATTTTTTTTTAAGAACACATAAAACAACAAATTTTATACTGAGACAGATCTTTTAAGGCTAGTTACTTATTAGTTTCAGGAAATGCCCAATATACTCACATATAAAGTCCTCTTTCCCTCCTGGTTAAAAACCTTCATGTTATATGTGTATGTTCAGGTGCATATGGAGGCCAGAGCTTGATGCCTGATGTCTTCCTCAATTGCTCACCATCTTTTTCCCCCCAGATAGAGTCTCACTGACCCCAAAGCTAGATTGGCTAGCCAGCAAGTCCCCAAAGGGATGCTCCTGTCTCTGCTCCCCGCGGTGCTGGCAGTACAGACGACAAAGTCTGACTTTCACAAGGATAATAGGGATCAGACTCAGCTTCATGCTGGGACAGCAAGCACTTTACTAACAGGAGCTTGTCCCCAGGCCCTATGAAATGCTAACACCAACCTCTAAAAATGTGAATAGAACACGGATTATTATATTAGAAAACATACCTATAACATGGGTTCAAACAATACTTTAAGACATTAAAATCTGTTAACACTGCAGAACTATTCTCTTTGTTCTATATAAATAAAATCACAAGGATACAGCAAGTATGTTAGAAAAATGAACACAGAATGCTGAGAGTTCCAACTACATTTATAGGCATTCTCTTTTTTTTTTTCCAAGACAGGGTTTCACTATGTAGCCTTAGCTGTCCTGGAATACACTCTGTAGACGAGGCTGGCCTCAAACTCAGAGATTCACCTGCCTCTGTCTCCCAAGTGCTGGGAGTAAAGGTGTGCACCACCACCGCACGGTTTATAGACATTCCTTAGAAAGCATTATACTGAAGTTTTCTAGATTCTTCCTATCAGCCTATTTTCAAAGAAGAATTTTTCAAGGAGACGTAACTGATTTACTGACTTGTCTAGAGAAAATACTATCTACTTCTTTAATGAATACTTCTCTGTATCTACAGCATAGTTGTGCAAAGTATTTTCACATATCTAATTTACTATCTATAATACCACCGAAGTTGAATAGGCCTCTATATTATTACTCATGCTATTTCATGAAAGAAGAATCATCTATTAATATCTATGGAAACCCTATCTACCCGTTAATAAGAAACTCAAATTATATCATACACAATGTTCTCAGTGACCTAATGTTTTAAATGTTTTGTCCTAAGAATCTGCTGCTTTTGGAAGTTGGGACTCATCATTATCCTGAACTATAGCTCAGGATGGCTTTGAACTTTCAATCCTCCTTTCTTGTCAAACTTCTATGTTGTTAAGACTGTAGGCAACTGCTACCATACCTAACTGTACAGTTTTAAAAAAACACAAAGTTCTGCAGATCACTATGTACCACCCTAGAATTTATTATTACAAATCATGTTTTATTTTTATTTATTTGTTTGTTTATTTGTAATGTGTTTTGTGGAATCATCATGATACAGCATACACATGATACTCAGGACAACCAGAAAGTGTCATTTCTTTCTATCATGTGGATACTAAAAATCAAACTGAGAACCCAGGCCTAAGGTCTCAGTAGAAACACTGATCCATTACCAGCCCTTGAACTATTATATACCTTTTTCAGATTTTTTGTTGTTGTTTTTGTTGGGTGCTTTTTTGGTTTTGGTTTTTTGGAAAGACCTCTATGCAGACTTGGCTGTCTGAGAACTCAATATGTAGATCAGGCTGTCCTGGAACTCACAGGTATCCAACTGCCTTTGCCTCCTTAGTGTTGGGATTAAAGGAATGCCACCACACCTGGCCTTTATAAACTAGATTTGACTGATAGTAACACTAGGTATTTTGTTATTTATAAGTTCTAGAAAACTAGGGTAACAGAGGGTTGAAAAAAGTGCCGCTTAAAAGTAAAACATAAAAATTTACATACCTAACACTTTATTACCCATCTTAAGTCCTCAAGTCGTTCCCCTATGAAAATTATGTTTCTAAGTATCAATTAACTATTTGATACACTCTCTATTTCATAAAACCCAAGTTAGATTTACAAAAATCTAATTGCTACAAGATCACTGACACATACATTAATAATCAATTATAATATTTAGACTTAGGAATGAATTAGATTGTTCTTGCACAAAAATGCAAGTGGTAGCTTAAATCAGTTCAGTATCATCATCGAATTAGTCATTTTCACTATAACTTTGCTCTTAATAATACAGGTGAGATGTACCAATCATAACTAAGTAAAATTGCCTTGCTTTGTTAACTAATTCCTTTGTTTGTTTGTTTGTTTGTTTGTTGTTCAAGACAAAGTTTCTCTCTTTAGCCCTGGTTGTCCCAGAACTCACTCTATAACCAGGCTGGCCTTGAACTCACAAAGATGCACCTGCCTCTGCCTCCGAGTGCTGGAATTAAAGGCGTGTGTCACCACTGCCCAGCAAGCAGTTCCTTTTAATATACGGTGTTCTACTGCGTGTGAAAAATGTATAGGGAGATGCCAACTGAACTGAACATCTGATTCTTCTGTCACTGACTGCTAGCATTTAGGGTTACTGAACTTTCTTCTTACTCCAAATTTGCTATAGGAGTCCACAAAAAAAGCATAAGCAAGGGGCAAATAGTCTTCAATGGAAAATAAAGATAAGCCCCAGCAAAAAATAAAAGAAGGTGAAAGTCAACTTAGAGCAAAACTGTGCCAACTGGGAATACTAGTAACAACAAGCACCTAAAGCCCATAGCTACAATCCTCTTTCTATCTCCAGAGAAGTGAGTTAAACTAAAGTTCATGTTTATAACCTGATTTCTGGTATGAAACCAGAAACTTTAAGGAGAAAATATGTTTGTAAACATATTGTAACAGAACCTAATGTGCCCCAGACACCATATACCCTAATTGTACCCACTATTCTTGTCATTGCATGTAATTCCTCGCAGATCTTCATCAATGATCCTTATCTAAAATGCTTTTGATCAGAAGAATTTAAGATTGGGAGGAGAGGGGCTGTGGGGTGTTTGTTTATTCTCATCAGATGTACTTTAGCTTTCTTAACCTAGAAATCCAAAACCTGAAACTTCTAGAGAATCATGGGCTTCAGATTCTGAGGTCAGTGAATATCAATCTATATACTAAAGATATCTGTAGCTAGGTAGCAAGCTGGTAGAAGACATGAAACTAACACAAAATATTCTTTGCTCTTGAAAATCAGTTTTCAGGCCACAATGTGCAAGTTTAGAGATAACATGGTATCACAATGCTTTCTTTCATTTTATCCCCAAATTTCAAGAAGCCCAGAAGTCTAAAAAGACACATGTAAAACAACAATTCAGCAGAAAATTAACCTAAGTTTTGTTCAGTCTTATTAAATTGTGTGCCTATTCTGGACATCTGTAATTACATATTCTCTAAATATTTTGGCAAAAGGCATTATATAGAGTAAAAGTTAAAATAACGAACACTGTATACACACTTGCCTTCACTACAGAATGGTCTCTTAACACCGGAGAAATTTACTGTTTCGTGAAGTGTCTTCTCCTCTTGGCAGTATTCGCAATATGTAACTATGCAATGCAACTTCTTATAATCATCTGAGCAAGTTTTGCTGCAGAACTGATGCACTTTGTTCTAAATGCACAATGGGAACTTTGGTAAGTAGAGAACCAACCATCTCAACCAATCTTAAGAAATAAACAAAACACTCTTACAGTAAAACTATTTACTGTTATGATCTTTGGAGACACATTTCCTATAGGCCACAGAAACCTAAGCTAACCAGTTTTCTAAATATAAATATAACTCCACTAAATTCAGCATCATTAACTACTCTAAAAGTACTCTATGAGCAGGTAACAATCGCTAACATAAAGTATAAGTCTGGAAAAACTGAATTAGAGAAACAAAAAGGAAATAATGAAAAATACAATGGAAGCTACAGAAATACAAGATACAACATTTTTAGTCAATGCAAGATACTCTTTGTTGAGTAGATTCCAACACATTCCTGACATACTTTAATAAAAACATCATTTATGTCCAAAATTTCAATCTAGTGCTATTCTACAGGATTAATGAAAAACTTGACACTAAGTTTCCTTAAGTGAAAAAATGGTTAATTATTATTTTTTCCTGAATTCAAAACAACAATTGTCAGGTTTACTTTTTAAACAATGAGCCAGGATTTAAGAACTAAAGTTCAAAAAATTTAACTTTTCTCCCAAATTATGGCACATATAAATTAAGTCTAAATCATCAACTTAATATATATCAAAGATATCTGAAGACTAAAATAAGGAGATAAAACGATGCAGGAAACAACTCAAGTAGTTAAAGCAGTCATCAATGGAAAACTGCCCTGTTATGAATACAAAAGTCAAGAGGAGAAAAAATGGCTGGGAGAATACAGGCACAAAAACAATCACGCAGAGACATACAGACAAAGACCACATGCACATGAAAAAGAACACAAAGAAATCAAAACTGCTAATCATGGTCTGGAAAAGACCCTAAATTCACAGTCTCTGAGGGAGATGCTCAATCAATAGGACAGTATCTCTTAATGGCAACTAACACTAAAGTTCTCTGTAAACAGAAGCAATACCGTATCACTACAAAATTTGAGTAGCAATGATTTTCATCTGAAATTACCAAATTTCAATTTATTATAAGACATTTATTTCCTATATGATACTATTTGTATGCTTGTGGATGGATTTCTTCCCTCACTCCCTGGTTATTCCTTTATTTTCTCATGTTGGTCATTCAGTATTATTTCTGCTACTAGTTAGGTAGTTATTAGTCTAAAACTCATGACAAGACCCCATCAAGACTCTCAAAAGAATGTCTAAATTTAACTACATTAGAAACAGCACCAAACAAAATGATAAACTACAGAATTTTACAGGTACTAAAATAGTAAACTTCCTCAGATTTCCAAAAAGTTTAGAAATCATGAAATCTAATTCTAGATATCACTTTTCACCTCAGTGTTACACTCTTATTTATTTGTTTGTTTACTGGTTTTTCAAGACAGGGTTTCTTTGTGTAACCTGACCTGGAACTCGCTCTGTAGACTACGCTGGACTGGAAAGAGATCCGCCTGCCTCTGCCTCTTGAGTGCTGAGATTAAAGGCGTGCACCGCCAAAACTTGGCTGAGTGTTACACTTTAAGTGATGTGTGAACAATCACAAAACAAGCAGTCTGATTTTAATTCTACATCTTATATAACTTTTAAGTATATATTTCATGTATACTTCTGACCATCCAATCCACCCAAAAACAGTTTAAAGAATGGTCAATGGGCTGGAGAGATGGCTCAGAGGTTAAGAGCATTGCCTGCTCTTCCAAAGGTCCTGAGTTCAATTCCCAGCAACCACATGGTGGCTCACAACCATCTGTAATGGGGTCTGGTGCCCCCTCTGGCCTGCAGGCATAAACACAGAATATTGTATACATAATAAATAAATAAATATTTAAAAAAAAAAAAAAAAGAATGGTCAAAAGTAAACACTGTTCTACACAGCAGTAAGCAGCCTGGATTACCTATCTATCCATTACTGTCCTCAAACAAACTCACTGTTCAGAAGTGCCAACAGCAAAAGAAAGAATATGACAAAGTAAATTAATACACTAAAAAAGGTTAAGAGTGCTACAGAAAAAAAATCAACAAGAGTCACAGGCCTCTGCTTTCTTATTAAAATAGAAGGTGTTAAATGGCAGCTTAGTGTCTTACTTACAAATTCTAATTCTACAAATACAGAGCACAAAGGTATTTATAGTTCAGATAATGAAAATAATGAGGAGAAACAGGAAAATAAGTCGACAGATACTCTGGGTGAATGAGGAGACATTTTATATTCTATTACAAGGGTATTACTTCTTGTGTATTTGACTTCAATAAATTGCTTCGCATTACATCCATCCTGCTGACTTCACTTCCACACAAGTATACACAGCACTAATACAATACAATATATGAAACTACTAAGAAAGGTTTGCAAACAGAAATGCTAGTTACTTTATTATGTTCTCATCTTAGCATCAGATAACACATAAGGAAACAAGACTTGCCTCCCATTCCAAGATTTCTGGTTTTGAACAAAAGGAATTTTTACAGTAGTTGCATTTCAATTGAATATCACTGGGTGCTACAAATTGGCCATTTGGAGACGACTGCATGCTTAGTGCCTAAAATAAAGAACAAAATACACTTAGTCTGACATGTATTTTTAACTTCTACTGTTAAGTACTATGAAGAAAAGTCTACTGTATACAGAAAGCAATAGTTTCTTTGCTAATTTCCTTAGTACATAAAATGCTAATTCTTAATTTTCCCTCAAAAATACACTATTAAAAAGCTCTGGGAGGTAGCTCAGGGGCAGCATGACTTCTTAGCAAGTTCAAGGCCCTAGCTTCAATGCCCAGTACTGGAAAAAAACAAAAACACAAAAAAACCCTGTATTGTTAGCTTTACAAATCAAAATGTTTACCAAGAATTACCTAAAATAATAAAATAAAAAAAGAAGGAAAAACTACAACTTATTTTTTTTTCAGTTGAAAAAAAAAAAAGATAATAGGTTAGCTCTCCAAGTTCTGAACTACAACATAAAAGCAAGGAAGGGGGATAACAAGGCAGAGTAAAAAAGGGGGGAAAAGACAGAGAGGAGATAAACCTGTACTGATGTTTCCAAAAATGAAATATTAAGCTATTAATAACTTGCCCCACTACATCACTCCCATAATCCTTACTCTAAGTCCTTATCAAGGAAAACATGCATGTATTACTTTTAAAAAAGGTAACAAAGCCAAGCGGTGGTGGTGTATGCCTTTAATCCCAACACTTGAGAGAGAGGAAGGTGGGTCTCTGTGAACAAGACCAGCCTAGTCTACAGAATAAGTGCCAGGACAGTCAGGACTACACAGAGAATACCTGCCTCAAAATAACGAACAAAAAAAAAAAAAAAAAAAAAGAACAAAAAAAAAAGTAAAAGTTGATAACCATACAGGATTATTACAGAATAAGATAGGAAGGATATATAAACATACATAGACTTTAATCTTTTTCCTTGATTCTTTGTGCGAGGCAGTCTCTATGTGGTACTGGATGTCCCCAAACTAGCTATTTAGAGCTGTCTCTTGAGTGCTGAGATTAAAGGAGTAAGCAATCACCAGGCCCAGCTTTTTTTTCTCTGAATCTTAACCTAAGTACACTAATATTTATCATTCTTTTGGGTATGTTCTCCATACATATACAGGTTAAACATAACCTTGTGCATGCAACAAGTGGCTAATAAAATTATTCAAGAAAAAGTAGAGGGAGAAACAATCACTTTAAATACCATATTGTACAATACAAGTAAAGTTAGTTTAAAGAAAAAAAGAAAGGCCAGTCAGTGGTGGTGCAAGTCTTTAATTTAACCCCAGAACTTGGAAGGCAGTCGGGCCTATCCCTGTGAGTTCAAGGCCAGCATGGTCTACAGAGTGAGTTCCAGGACAGTCAGGACTGTTTCAAAGAAAAATTGTCCCAAGAAAAAACAAGATGAAACAAAGAAAGAGGGAGGGAGGCAAAGAGAAAGAGAAAGAAAACATAAAAAGATATTTTACTATCAGATGACTGAAATGTTACATGCCTTTTTTACTATTTCACTGAACGTGCAAGAACCATATTGGATTTTTAAGTTCCGAAACTCTGAGAAATAGCAAATATTGCTTATAAACTGCTTTGTGAAAAAGTAAAAAAATAAAAAATAAAAAAATTTAAAAAATAATAAAGAAATGAATCTTTAAAAAAATAAATAAATAAATAAAATTAAAAAAACATCTAAAGGAATAAAGGTAATTTTAGTATCTGAGAAGCAGAAGGCCATCATCCCTATCTTTCTCTTCACAAATTAATTATCCCTTTAATTCTGGTGTAAAAAAAATTAAACTATTAGAAAGATTATGCACCACTGAAGCAACTTTATCCATCAATTGGCTTAATTTCAACTTAGAAAAGATTAGTGTTGAACAAGTTTATTATCTAATTTCAATGAGAGTGTAACTCACGAAAACAGTATTCATTCACTTGACTGAATTTAAAAACCTCAATTTAAATGGTAGTTATTTGTAGCAACTACTGTAGCATACATATTTAAAAGACTATAGTTTCAGTTTTAAAAAGTTAACCTAGGTGCTGAAGAGATGGCTCAGCAGTTAAGAGCACTGACTGTTCTTCCAGAGGACTCAGATTCAATTCGCAGCACCCACATGGCAGCAGACAAGTGTCAATAATTCCAAGATCTGACACTCTCACACAGACATAAAGGCAGGTAAAACACCAATGTACATAAAATAAGAATAAATTTAAAAAAATAAAAATAAATAAGTTAACCTAGAGCATAGTACCTGGAATAAAAAAGAACTGTTGGATGAATTAACTCATGAATCATGGCTTTCTTTATGCACTGATTTGAAATTCTCACATACAATAGGTAAACCTACGAGTGCTACCTATGAATACCTAAACTATTCCTTCAGAGTGGTCAAACAAACATTATCTTTTGATATTATCCACACTCTAAATGTAAAAAATTATCAAACAACCCAAGTTTTTTGAGAATTTTTTTTTGTTTAGTTTTGGTTTGGTTTGCTTTTTTATTGTTGTTGGGGTTTTTTTTTGGGGGGGGGGGGGTTGAGACAGGGTTTCTCTGTAGCTTTGGACCCTGTCCTGGAACTAGCTCTTATAGACCAGGCTGGCCTCACAGAGATCCACCTGCCTCTGCCTCCCAAGTGTTGGGATTAAAGGTGTGCGCCGCCACCACCAACAGGCTAAACAACCCATCATTTACAAAAATCAATAATATCTCCCTGAATGGATCCCAGACTAAGTTAAGAGCTACTATAAGTCTAAATCCCCTTTTTACAGTGTTCATTTCTATTTTGGATAACAATATGCTTAATGTTTCAAGGCTAAAGACACTGCTACTATTTAACAAGAAAAGCACTATACATCCAACACTGAATTAAATCCTACTAAAATTCATTTTCCTTCAAGCTCTGAATCACATCAAATCTATACAGAAGTTCAGCAAGGCCTTCTGTGACTTGTGATATATATAGTCTCCGCCCAAAGAAGCAGAAAAGAAAAAAGCATATTATAATTGTTTTCTATATGCATTTTATGGGTGAGGGGGAAAAGTAACAAACCTGAAATTTAGCCACACAACTGGAATTGCAAAAGTTATACAGTTTTCCATCAGGCATTGTGGCTTGGTATTGAGGTAAAGAGTTTCGCTTACAAAAATGGCAAATAATTCCCAAACCTAGAAGAAAAAGAAAGATACATACCTGATTTCCTTATAAAGTAAAAGATCTTCTGAAAATGTTAACTGATTTTTTTTAAATGAGTCTCTCTACAAATTATTCTCATATTATTTATACCTTAAATTTTCAAGATATTTTCATCTTCAAAAAATACTGCCAGGGATTAAAAGAAAGCTCAGCAAAAAAGAGCTCTTGCAAAGGAACCAAGCGCTGTTCCCAGCACCCACAAAGCAACTAACCAACTTTTAACACCAGTTCTAGATAACCCTTCACCCTCTTCAGACCTCTGTGAGCACTGCATATACACAAGTACACACAGACAATGCTGGCAAAACACCTATACACATAAAAATGAGAATAAACATTTAATTATCTACAGTATAAAAGAATACATAAAAATGTTTTAGATATTTTTGGGCTTAATAATAGTTTTAGCTAATCAAATACAAATAAAGCGGGCTGGAGAAATGACTCAGTGGTTAAGAGCATTGCCTGCTCTTCCAAAGGTCATGAGTTCAATTCCCAGCAACCACATGGTGGCTCACAACCATCTGTAACGAGATCTGCTGCCCTCTTCTGGTCTGCAGATACACACAGACAGAATATTGTATACAAAATAAATAAACAAACAAACAAATAAAGCCTCACTAACTTTTAAAAATTAAAAAATATGGAAATCATCAAAATAATTTTAGGCTTGCAATAAAGAAGTTCAGTATGAGAAAATCAAACAGTTAAAATTATATAAAAATAAGATCAGCTATCTTTAATATACAATTATGTCAATAAACTTTCCAAATACTTAAAACTTACTTTGTGACTTTGCATATTTTGTCTTGTGACTGTTCATGCAAGCAGTTGAACAATATGGCTCCATATATCCATTAGGACCTATACACTGAGTCATATCAAAAAATCTGCACTGTGTTCGGCAACCAGTACACGTTGTCAGTTTTCCATATTTCTAAAATTTGAACATAAAAAGATAATTAAACACACACAAACACATACACACTCAACTAGAACTAATTTCATAAAGCGTTTTTTAAGAGCAAAAGACAGAGCTCTATGGAGCCCAGGAAGGCCTCAAAACTTATGACCTTCTTTCCTTAGCCCCACAAAATCTGGGATTGCAGAAATATGTCATCATGCCTAACTCAAAGCCTTTCCTGTCATTTCAAAATGATTCTATTATATTCTTTCTAAATACAAACTAATTGTGCCACCCACTAAACTAGGTTCTAGCAAACCAATCGTCATCTCAATCTCCTTCAAAAAAAAAAAAAATGGTTTTTGTTGATATTTAGTTGAAAATCTAGGAGAGGCATAATAACTTTTCTGTGTGTACGTGGTTTGGAGCTGTGTTGAAGACTGCATCTCTAAGAAAAAAAAAACAAAGAAAACTCTATGGCTACTAAATCTCACTGTCTGGAGGTAGATTTTGGAGCCCAGAAGTTGAAAAAACAGATCAAGTTCTGGACAACTACTATTTGGAAAACAAAATAATGAAGGGATGTGCACAGAAAAGAACTGTGGCTACCTAACCACCGGTATCTCAAAAGCGGCTTTGGCGAAGAACTGCTGAGTGCATGTGTGAGAGGACGGAGTGACAGGAGCAGACAGCAGTGCTGCGTTTATCAATCTCAGCATGGACAAAGTTGAAGCAGGAAGGTAGGCTACATAACGTGACCCTGTCTCAAAGAGATACAGCACCAACAAAAAACACCTCAAAATGGAGCACAGACAGAGGAAAATAATACATAGTGCCTCAGTGGTAAGAAACATTGACAGCAGGAGTCAGATGTGTGAGAGAGGCATTAGTCCAGGTAAGCAACACCAAAATTGTATCTGAGAAGAATTGTCTAATGACACACAAGGATTTTCTGATGAATAAAAAACATGAAAAATTTGGTGGAATTGAAAAATCTATCTCTTGGAGGAAATGAAAACATTCATCATCTGATATAATTTAAGAGAATAAATTTTAATAATTCCTTAGACAACTATTACGTTAAAATACACTTTAATGCTTGAAAATGGATGCAACGTTATGACATTTGACACCAGGAACTTACACAGTATAAGATAACTAATTCCCACATCTGCCCTGCATATGCCCACATACATATACAAACATGAAATTTTTTTTTATTTAAATGAATCTTCAATCTCACCAACATTCCTGCTTACCTCAGGCTGCATTAAGAAAGAATCCTGCATGTGATCTCGAACTTCCTTCAGGAAACTTGGATGACTACCTACCTAAAACATTTTAAAAGATTTTGTAAGTGCATGAAGAAAAGGTGTCAGACTGAAAAGTAAATAAAAATCTATGAAAGCTGCTTCAATGATTGACCGATTTAAAACCTTCTCCTTTCTTTTTTTTTTTAACTTATTTTTTTAAGATTTATTTTATTTATTATGTATACAGTGTTCTGTCTGCATGTTTGCTTGCAGGCCAGAAGAGGGCATCAGATCTTATTATAGTTAGTTGTGAGCCACCATGTGGTTGCTGGGAATTGAACTCAGGACCTCTGGAAGAGCAGGCAATGATCTTAACCTCTGAGCCATCTCTCCAGCCCCCTCCCCTTCTCCTAACTTTGAACAATACATTTTCTGTTCTGTGCTCACTATTGAAGAAGTTGGGGGGGGGGGGGAATACAATGATAAAACAACACCCCCCCAACACACACACACACACACACACACACACACAATAGAGAATAAGAAAAGAGCCCTAGACTATGAAATCGCATTTAAGTTTAAAAAAAGCAATCCTCATCACCAAAAACAAAGTTCCAGGACAGGCTCCAAAACCACAGAGAAACCCTGTCTCGAAACCACCCCCTCCCAAAAAAACTAGTAAAGCAATCCATGTCAAAACTCAAATTACAGATGTTAGAATTATCTGACAAAGATTTCCTAAGTAGCCATCATAAAAATGCTTCAATAGTTATAATATGCTGCCGGGCGGTGGTGGCACACGCCTTAAAGGGAGGCAGAGGCAGGCGGATCTCTGTGAGTTCGAGGCCAGCCTGGTCTACAAGAGCTAATTCCAGGACAGGAACCAAAAGCTACGGAGAAACCCTGCCTCGAAAAATCAAAAAAAAAAAATTAAAATTAAAGAATCAGAGAACTGTAAATAGACAATAAATAGAAACTACTCTGTGTTATCTTTGGAGCTGTGGAGGAATAAAAAAAGAAGACAGAATTCTCCAAGAAATACTGCCTGGGGACTGGAGAGATGACTCAGAGTTTAAGAGCACTGGTTACACTTCCAGAGGTCCAGAGGTCAATTCCCAGCAACCACATGATGGCTCACAACCATCTGTAATGAGATCTAATGCTCTCTTCTGGTGTGCAGGAGAAACCCTGTCTCGAAAATGGCAGGTGTCTGAAGAAAGCAGCTCACATAGTGAAGTATTTTCCAGCAATTATAAGGATACAAGTTTAATCCCCAGAATCTAACTTAAAAAGCTGGGCATGGTGGTGGCATACATTTGTAACCCCAGTGCTGGGGGACTGTAAATGAATAGATGCTCTGGAACTCTGGAGCCAGTCAGTCTAGTCTAATCATGAGCACCAAATCTCAGGGTAAATGCCTCAAAAGCCAAGGTGACTAAAGAATAACACTCACAACTAACCTGTGACATACATACATACATATATTACATTACATATATGCATCCACGATGCACCGATGCCATCTCTAGCCCCCCCCCCCGCCCCCAATACATCAAAAAGAAAATGGAAATTACAGATACGACTTAGTGGAAAAGCATTTGCTTAGCATATGTGAGGCCCTAGGTGCAGAAAAGGGGGGAGGGATAAGCAAGATAAAGAAAATATTATATATAGAGGCACACCATTATAACTACAGTACTTCCAGCATACAATCAATGTAAATAACCAAAGAGCATACATAATTAAAATACAATGGACAACATAGGAATGGTGATGTATGTCTACAACCCCAGTACTTGGGAGGCCAAAGCAAGAGATCAAGTTCAAGGCCAGCCAAAACTACAAGTTCTGTCTTAAAACAGAGCAAAATAAAGATAATGTAGTGAGAATTTTGAGCATCTTTGCTTTTATTCTTATAGACAGAAATGTGTACTCCCTTCAATCCAATTCCTACTTTGAAACTCTAACTTCCAATTGAATTGTTATGTATTGTTATGGCTAAACAAGGTCATAGGGGTGGGGATATAATGAAATAAACCTGGTTTCCCTTTAAGAAAAGAGAAAGGCAAAGCAAAAACAGTTGTAGAGAAGTAGGAAGTAAAGAAGAGGCAGGACCAGAAACTTGAACTTTCATCTTCCAGAACTGTCAGAATGTCAATTACTATTTATTAAGTCAGAGTCCATGATCTGGTATATAGTAGCCCTAAAGAACTAATTAAATATTAATCTAATCATGTTTTCATAATTTAACTTTTAATAATGATTTCATAGGGGCTGGAGAGATGGCTCAGAGGTTAAGAGCACTGGTTGCTCTTCGAGATGTCCTGAGTTCAATTCCCAGCAACCACATGGTGGCTCACAACCATCTGTACTGAGATCTGGCACCCTCTTCTGGCTTACGGGCATACATCGAGGCAGAATGTTGTATATATAATAAATAAATAAATCTTAAAAAAAATTATTTAAAAAAATGATTTCATAAAATTACGATAAAATGGACTATTCTTCCATAAAGAATGAAAAAGATCAATCTATGTAGTGATAGGGAATGAGTTCAGAGACATATACGGCAACACATACATTAAGATACCTTCTGTTTCAGGCAGCAGTGTGCACACCTTTAATCCCAGCATTCGGGGTACAGAGGCAGGTGGATCTCTGTGAGTTCGAGGCCAGCCTGGTCTACAGAGTGAGTTCCAAGACAGACCCCAATGCTACAAAGAAGCTGTCTTGAAAATCAAAACAAACAAAAAAAGAAAACCTCAAAAAAAAAATCATTAAAAAAAAAAGATACCTTCTATTTAAGAAAAAGATAAACTATCAGTAGCTTGGCTATTTCCTTAAGTTTCCAAAAAATATACAAAACAAAGACTAAAAATTGATACCTAAAAATAATACAAAGGAATCAAGGAGAAACAAAATAGAAGCTAAACTAAAGCTAAGCTTAGTATGCATATTTTATGTCTACATGTATTTGCAAAGTCAAATTAGAGGGCTAAAACTGGAAATTAATCTAAAAGCTGAAATACAAAGGCCCAAGTTCTAACAGTTTGAAAGTCCCTCTCCAAATCCCCCCAAAAAGAAAATTCGAAAGAATTATACTAGGTCACAAGTTAATTTTCAAAAACCTACATATTTCTTACTTCATTTGAGTTAAGTCATTTTCATATAAAAAAATTATAGAATTAAATGAGATCCCAAAATAAATAAGGCTAAATCCTCCTACAATGCTTCCAAACTCACCCAAAATACCTGGGGGCTTTAGCACATGAGTTACCTGTTTGTATTCACTGACACAACTCTGACAGCAAAATCTTTTCTGCTGACCATCAATCACCAGAACATTATTTCCAGCACCTTTACTGGGCAAATATTCTCCACACTGTTCACAGCAATTCATTATTAGACCATTGGCCATTCTATATCTATTGAAGCAGTGGTCACTGCATAGCTTATGAGTCATATTTTTAAAACTAACTTCATGGCGAATCTAAAAGAAAAACAAACAGAATTTTAAGAGTGTATCTGTTTTCAAGTAGCTAAAAAGCTTAATTCACAGCAACATAAACACAAGAAGGCTAATTTGAGGAAAAGCAAAAATCAAAATACATTTTTCTATGTCTCTGAGGTGTTTATATACACAAAAACATATGAACACATGCATCGCACTTATCACTATAAACTTCTCTAAAAATAAATTAAAAACAACAGAAAGCCAGGTAGTGGTGGTGCACGCCTTTAATCCCAGCATTTGGAAGGCAGAGGATGGCAGATCTCTGAAAGTTAGAGGGCAGTCTATTCTATAAGAGCTAGATCCAAGACAGGCACCAAAGCTACACAGAGAAACCCTGTCTCGAAAAACCAAACACAACAGAAAATCCACACTTTCATAAACAGACTTATTATAAATCTTTAGACAACTCCAAAAGAAATGATAAAGTACACTTCACTAGGCAAGGAAGAAAAAAGTCAGTACTACAAACAATTCAAATAAAGTATGCACATATAGGTTACTTTAATATCATAATAATGTGAATTAATTTTGGAAATTCTTCCATTTCTATTTGTCTGTTTGTGTTTCTTATGTAGTTACCCATTTGTATAAATAAACATATGACCAATAAAAAGGGGAAAGTACAATCATAATACTATAACTCTTTTCTGTCAACCTGATGAAATAAACAAGGTAATTAATTCTTCCTGAGTCAGCTTTCTTGGAAGACTAGGATTACATAATGGAATACTCTAAAAAGTTTATATATCCTCACTTTTAAGGACACAGGCACCAATAAAAGAATAGGGGGAAACTGTCAACATCCAAAATGATCTCACGTGAGAGCAAGTAAAAAGTACAAACCTCGGTGAGTTTGCCACAGATTGTGCATCTCGATTTATTTAGAGCTCCTTTAGCAGGACTCTGCTTGTCCTCATAGAGAGACAGGCAAGATGTACTACAAAATTCTTGGAAGGATTCACTTGAATCTACTTGAGCAACAATTGTTCCTTTCATTGTAGTTATATCTCTGAAAAATAAGATGTACAACTTAAAGTTCCATTTCAAAAGTAACTAAAAATAAAAGTTGTAACTGATATTTTTAATTTCCACAGACTAATTCATGGAAATCAAACATCATTTTTAGATTCAAGAGATCACTTTTAGTATAAAATATGTACTCTTGGAAAAAAAAAAAAAGATCAAAAAGTCGCCGGGCAGTGGTGACACATCCATTTAATCCCAGCACTCGGGAGGCAGAGACAGGCACTCGGGAGGCAGAGACAGGCACTATGAATTCGAGCCCAGGCAGGACTACAGAGTGAGTTCCAGGACAGGCTCCAAATTTACAGAGAAACCCTGTCTCAAAAAACAAAAACAAAAGATTAAAAGGTCAAAACAGCCAGACAGTGGTGGGGAATGCCTTTAAACCCAGCACTGGGAGTAAGAGGCAGGTGGTTCTTTGTGAATTCGAGGCCAGCCTCTACAGAGCAAGTGCCAAGACAGGCAGGAAAGATACACAGAGAAACCCTTTCACACACACAAAAAAAATTATACACACACACAAAAAAAAAAAGTAAAATTATTTGATTCTGTCACTAATACTTTATCTTCTCATGCACTGACAAGGCTTTAAGATTGGAAAAACTAAAATTACGATAGTTGCATTAAATTAAAGTCAAAGACTAATTTACTTCAACTGATAATACCAGTTCAATTCCCCTCCCCAACTAATAGGCAAGCATTAAGACTCCTAGATTATGGGAATTTAACATCAGGAGAGACTACACAAAGTATTTTCTACTTAAATGCACCACTTGGCAGGCATGGTGGCTCACATCATTAATCCAAATACTTAGTTGGGGGGAGGGTTGGGGAGAGCTTGGGGAAGTGGGAGGGTGGAAATGGAGAAAGGACGGATATGGGAGCAGGGAAGAAGATATCTTAATTAAGGAAGACATTTGGGGGTTGGCAAGAGGCTTGGCTCTAGAGGGGTTCCCAGGTGTCCACGGGGATGTCCTCAGGTAGGACCCTGGGCAGTGGAGGAAAGGGTGCTGAACTGGCCTTGTCCCATAGTCAGATGACTATCTCGAATATCACCATAGAACCTTCGTTCGGCGACAGATGGAGATAGAGACAGAGAACACATTGGAGCAGTGGACTGAGCTCCCAAGGTCCAGTTGAAGAGCAGAAGGAGGGAGAATATGAGCAAGGAAGTCAGGACCGCGAGGGGTTGGTCCACCCACTGAGACAGTGTGCCTGAGCTAATGGGAGCTCACCAAAGCCAGCTGGACTGGGACTGAACGAGCATGGGATCAAACTGGACCCTCTGAATGTGGCTGACAATGGGGGCAGACTGAGAAGCCAATGATAATAGCACTGAGATTTGTCTCTACTGCATGCACTGGCTTTTTGGGATCCTAGTCTGTTTGGATGCATACCTTCCTAAGCCTGGATGGAGGGAGGAGGCACTTGGACTTCCCACAGGGCAGGGTACCCTGTCCCCTCTTAGGACTGGAGGGGGAAGAGGGAGGGTATGTGGGGGAGATGGAGGGAAATGGGAGGAGAGGAGGAAGTAGAAATTTTGAATAGTATTATTTATAAAGCAATAAAAAATAATTTAAAAAAATAGTTAGATGGTAGAGGTAAAAAGCATCAGGAGTTCAAGGTCCTCAGTATACAGTCAACCTAGATTACATAGACCCTAAATTATAGAATGAATTAATGTATAAATAAATAAAATGATGGGTAAATACAATAAGGGGGCATGCACCTGTAATCCCAGTACAATGGAGAAATAGTGTGACTGCCATAATTTTGAAGCCAAACTTTATATAAAAGTTCTAAGATAGCCTGGACTACAAAGCAAGACATCTCAATAAATAAATAAATACACAAAAAAATAATAATAATACTATTGACTTTAAATTTAAATACTAAATTTCTAGACTATTACAGCATTTGAGTATACTGTAAAATAATCTAAACACTATAGAACAATTGTTTTTGTCCTTGGATTTACTATAAGAATAAAACACTAAGTCCTTATCAGAAGTTCAATACACCTAAAACTAGTTTCAGATTTGGGCAGCTCTGAGAGAGTACAAAAAAATCCACTTGACCCTCAATACAGTATATCATCCAGTTTTGTTTGCAATCATTGAAAACAGATCTAAAACAGGACAGAAACTCTTATTTCCAAGAATATCAAAAAAAACCCAAAACAAACAAATTAAAAGTACCTGGGTCATAAAACTACATTTTGACAACAGTCAAAAAATACTCAAATATATAGAATGTATCATATCTGTATCATAAGTGTAAGCACACAACTTTCTAACATTGTTATATTCTTACAATTAATAATGCATTTAGTAGTAAAGTGCCTCTATAAGGTGAGGCTCTGGGCTTGATCCCTAGCACTGTAAATAAAGAAAAAAAAGTAAATCAACATAAATATATTTATATTGTTATGATATTATATAAATATTCACATTTTTGCAAGGGATTCATTGGAGATGACAGTCAAAATTACAAGGGCCTAAATAAATCAGTTCAAAACCTACCAAATAGGAAGCCCAATCTATAAGCTACCAGACTTTCAAAGTAGCTTACCAAATTTTAAAACATGAATGAATTCATCTCTAAGTGTCTCAATGAAATTTCTAAAAAAAAATTATGATCATTATTTAACCACATGGAATGGTATGAAAGGTTAATCTTACTTTTTACACATAACACAGAGTTTCTTTGGAGCAGGTTTATGAGAGAAAGAAGAAAGGCAGGTGGTTGAACAAAAGAGGTGAGCTGATCCTTTTCGTTGATAAGCTGTCTGCCCCTTCTGCAGAGGTTTCTTACAGTTTGCACAAGTGACTTTAACTGGTTTAGTGGGCTGCTGTTGAGCAGAAGGCTGGAATATCTGTTTAGGAAGTGAGGCCACTGGTGATAAAGAATCCACCCCTTGTTGTTTCTGGTTACGAGGAAATGATGCTGATTGGGAGATCCAGGAATCTAAAACAAAATATGGAGAAAAGAATAATCAAATAGGTATTTATAAACATAGAATTTTATTAGCAAAGAAATAGTTTTACTTTTCTAGTATGCCAAAGTTTATAAAACTAATTAAAGCCACATGTGATGGCTCATGCCTATAATCAACACTTGGGGAACTGAAACAGGAGTGCCACGAATTTAAGACAAGCTTGAGACCCTGCCTCAGATGCTAATGAAGCAACAATATTTTGGGGGGTTTGTTTGTTTGTAACTGAGGCAGGGTTTCTCTCTGTGTAACAGTCCTAACTGTCCTGGAACTAGCTCTTGTAGACCAGGTTGGCCTCAATCTGACAGAGATCCAACTGCCTCTGCCTCCCAAGTGCTGGGATTAAAGATGTGCACCACCACAGCCTTGCATGAAGCAACAATTTTGCAGAAGTAGGAGCATCTGTGGGTAAGATTGTCTGCTTTCTAGAAACAATACATTATAGTCTTAAAAATGGCAAGACAGTAAATTGAAATTGTTCTCATAAAAGAAAGGAAGTATATGGTGTGCTGTGTGATCAGCTTGATTTAGCCATTCCACAATGTACACATATTCCCAATCAACATGTTCTACATGATAAAAGCACATTTTTTCTGATAATTTAAATAAAAAAGAATGGCCAGGCAGTGTTGGTGCACGCCTTTAATCCCAGCACTTGAGAGGCAGAGGAAGATGGATCTCTGCAAGCTCAAGACAAGCCTGGTCTACACAGCGAGCTCCAGGACAGCTAGTACTGTTGCACAGAGAAACCCTGTCTCGAAAAATAAAAAGAATGGAGCTGAATAGATCAAGTTGGTAATGTACTTGCTACACAAGCATGAGAATCTGAGTTGAACAGAACTCACAGTTTTTATTGTTTTCTTTGCTTGCTAAGTTGTTCTATTTTGTTTTTTAAAAAAGCAAGCCAAGTGGGTAGAGAGATGGCTTGGAGATTAAGAGCACTGGTTGCTCTTCCAGAGGTCCTGAGTTCAATTCCCAGCAACCACATGGTAGCTCACAAGTACTAAAATAAGATCTGACAGGCAGAACAATGTATGCATAATAAACAAACAAATCTTTAAAAAAAAAAAAAGCCGGGTGGTGGCGATACACGCCTTATCCCTGCAGTCAGGAGGCAGAGGCAAGCAAATCTCCAAGTTCAAGGCCAGTCTGGTCTACAAAACAAGTTCCAGGACAGCTAGGACTGTTACTTTCCTGGGAGGGGAGAGGGAGGTTGAAGCAAGCTAAATAAGGTACACACTCATAATCCCGGTACTGAGTCTGAGGCAGAAACAGATTCCAAGGGTTCACTGGCCAGCCAGCCTAGCCGACTTAGTGAGTTCCAGGCAAATAAGAGATCTTGTCTCAAAGAATAAAACAGACAGTGACTGAGGAACAATACTCAAGATTAACCTCTGGCATCCAAAGGACTGCACATGAACCCTCCACAAACACCCGTTCACATATACACAACAAAGCAATAAGTAAAAATAAATTTGTATTCTGCTCCCTCCAAGATTGGTGTACCACTTAGAAAACTGTGTTTCACTCTTCTTTAAACTAGAAATAGCACCAAGCATTAAATGTGGTAATACAAGTAATAAAGCACAGTGACTAGCATGCAGGAAGCACTAAAAAATATGTCCCTGGCTATGAGATAGGAAGTGCAGACAGAGAAATCAATAACCAGGCATGCTAGCAAAACTTGGAGACTTCTTTACCTACAAAAATATTTGTGATTTCTTGGTTCTGATCCATTCTATCAGCCTAATGGTTTCAAGCATAACGCTCTTCAATTTAAAAAATAATGGAAGATGGTGATGTAGTTCAATTGGCAGGGTGCTCCCCAAGCATGCATAAAGCCCAGGCTCAGTCCTCAGCACCACAAAACATAGGCACAGTAACACAAGTTTATAATCCCAGCACGTGGAAGGTAGGAACAGAAGAATCCAAAGTTCAAAGTAATGGAGCTGAAGCAATAGCTCAGCTGTTAAGAACACTGCTCTTAGCCAGGCAGTGGTGGCACACGCCCAGCACTCAGATCTCTGTGAGTTTGAGGCCAGCCTGGTATACAAGAGCTAGTTCCAGGACAGGCTTCAAAACTACAGAGAAACCCTGTCTCAAAAAGTCAAGAAAATAATAATAAATAAATAAATACCACTGCTCTTACAGAGGATGAGGGTTCAGGTCCCAGCACCCACATGCTGAAGAACAACCATCTGTAACTCCAGTTCTAGGGAATATGCCACATCCTGGTCTTCATTAGCATGGGGCATGTACGTGGTGCACATACATATGTAGGCAAAAGCTCACACATTAAATAAAAAAGAAAATTCCTTTAAAATTCAAAGATATTATTGACTACATAGTGAATTTTGAAGCCAACTGGGGCAATGTTAAACCCTGGCAGAGAGGTGATTTATTTGAACGAGCAATGTCCTCATGTATTGAAAGACTTGGTCCCCATCTGGTATAACTGTTTAGAGAAATTATGGAATTTTTAGGATGTGTAGTCTCTGAAAGTAAATAAATCACTGGGGGAAGACCTCTTAAGAGTTCACAGCCTCATCCCACTTCAATCTCAAACTGTACTTCTGCCACCATACCTTCCCCATCATTACAAGCATTTTCCCTTCTGGAATTACAAGCCAAAATAAACTCTAAATTGACTGTGCTCACTGTATTTGACCACAGATCAACAAAATACCTAATATGCCATCTTCAAAGACAAAACTTTAAACTCAGCTTGGTGATGCATACCTGATCATCCCACCACACAGAAGCAGCTTAGACAGATCGACCCAGTGTAGCAGATTAAAACTAGGCAAGAAGATCTTCAACTAGTCTGAGATGATACATATGAACATATAGAACACACAGAACAGACTGTCTTAATTAAAATATATAAACACACATATATATTTTATATATAAAGAATAAACAGTGATGGTGCATGTCTTTCAGATCCCTGAGTACCAGGCCAGCCTGGTGTACAGAGTGAGATCCAGGACAGCCAAGGCTATAGAGAAACCCCGTCCCAATAAACAAACATACATACAAATAAATGACAATAAAATGCTTAAGCATATTAAGCTTAAAGAAGAGGACTTTTAACACAAGTTTCAGGAGACAGATAGACCAAGAGTTCCAGGCCAGCCAACACTACAAAGTGAGGTCCTGTCTCCAAAAGCATACTTTATAAACAAGGTCATCTATTTTATACTTACTTAGGGGAAATGGTGCTTTAAGATTATATTTGGCTTCATGACTGTAGAAATAATGTATTTCTTTAAATAACAGCCCTTCTATTTCTCTACTTCCAGGTTTTCACTTTCTCCAATATTTAAAAACATTTTAGGAATAGGCAAGAATGGTAATTACTTATCTAAGCCCTTAGTTTTATATAAAGAGATAAAGAGGCAACCATTACATTTTCCCAAATAACACCAGTAGAAGAACTGGTATAAATAGCAAGACTTTTATAACACTTTTTTTTAAGTCAGGGTGGCCTCAAACTCTCTATGTACTTGAGACTGACAATGAATTACTGATCCCTTCTGCCTTTAGTTTCCCCAATACTAGGAATACAGATTAGCACTATGGTACCTAGGTAGTTTTCCTACTCTTAATCTATTCTCTATTACTAATGAAAACAGCCCCAAAATGCAAGAGCTAATTAAAAACTACATCAGTGTGATTATATTTTAAGTTTGTTTTTTAACAACTAGAAGTCAGCTCTCCTCTTCTACCACGTGAATTCCAGGAATGGACTTCAAGGGGTCAGGCTTGGTGGCATGGGTATTTATTCACTGAGCTATCTTGTCAGCCTCTACATTTTTCTTAAGTACATCTTGCATACCTTTATATAATAAATAGTATACAAATAGTAGATAATGTTATGACCCATCAATATTCCTGAAGAAATGTATAACAAAATTATACAGATTACTAAGACCTTTATATAATGAAGTATAAGATACATACATAGATTACTATAACTTTATATAGTAAGTAGTATACAAACAGTACATAATTTTATGATCCATCAATATTCCTGAAGAAAAATATAACAAAATACATAGATTACTAAGAGTAATTAAATTTTAAAAACTCAAATTTAATTTAACTAGTTTAATTCTAGTTAAAAAAGAATATCAAGAATTTGACATGAGGGGCTGGAGAGATGGCTCAGTGGTTAAGAGCATTGCCTGCTCTTCCAAAGGTCCTGAGTTCAATTCCCAGCAACCAACCACATGGTGGCTCACAACCATCTGTGATGAGGTCTGATGCCCTCTTCTGGCCTGCAGACATACACACGGACAGAATATTGTATACATAATAAATAAATTTCGAAAAAAAAAAAAGAAAAAAAATAAAAAAAAAAGAATTTGACATGAATGTTTATCAAACTTTAAGAACTATTGTGAGGGATGAAGGATGGCTCAGCAGTCAAAACCACTTGGTGCTCTTTTGCAGTACCCAGAACCCATGTCAAGAGGTTAACACCTACCTATAACTTCAGCTCCAAATGATTTGATGCACCCTCTATCCTCTATAGGCACTTGCACACACACACATGCACATAACAAGACAGGCACGTAAGGCATAATTTTTAAAAAGAAAAAAAATGGCTGGGCAGTGGTGGCGCACGCCTTTAATCCCAGCACTCGGGAGGCAGGGGCAGGTGGATCTCTGTGAGTTCAAGGCCAACCTGGTCTACAAGAGCTAGTTCCAGAACAGGCTCCAAAGCTACAGAGAATCAGTGTCTCAAAAAACAAAAACAACAACAACAAAAAAGGTATTATTTAAAAGGAATAGTGTAGAGATTCCAAACCGTAACTATACTATGCTCTCAAAATTACAGATATTATCAATTAATTCACTTTTATTTTGAGACAGGGTCTCACAATGTAGCCCTGGCTAAAGTAATCGATTCTTCTTAAAGATGATAACTAACATTATTATTTGTATATTCATACTAATATTAACATACTTATAATGACTAGAAAAACTGCTATTCTATGACAGGCAGTGGTGGTGCAGACCTTTAATACCAGCACTCAATAGGCAGAGGCAGGCGGATCTCTGTGAGTTCCAGGACAACCAGGGCTTTTACACAAAGAAATCCTGTGTCGAGGGGAAAAGAAAAAAAGAAAAATATACTAATAAATACTTGTAAGAGTGTTCTGGAAAGCCATAAGGCAATATATGTCATAAGTCAAAAATGCTCAAGCTGGGACTATGGCTCAGTAGAATCTGTACAGCAGATCCCTAACACTGCAAAACTTAAGGATGAGGAAGTGAGATGGCTCAGAGGTAAGGCACTTGTCAATAAGTCCCAGGTCCAACAAAACAAAAGGAACTCCCATATTTTGTCTGTCACCTGGCTAATTTTATGTTAACTTGACAAACAAACTCAAGTTATCTGAGAAAAGGGACTCCCAAGTGAGAACATCTCCATAAGATTTATCTATAGGCAAGTTTAATCACTGTCTGACATGGAAGGGCCCAGCTCATTGCATGAGTTGTGCCATCCTTGGATAGGTGGTCCTGAGGTGTTTAAGAATACAGGTTGACCAAATCAGGAGAGAGCAAGTCCATAACCAATACTATATATAGCACGACTTCTTCATGCACGTGGAGACAGACACAGAGAGAAATTGAGATAGAAACAGGCATATATATGTGCAGAGCAGAGAAAGAGATGAAAGAAGAGAAATACATTGTAAAAAGGCCAGTTTTATATGTTGGTTGGTTTGGAGAGTGAGCTTTTTGAGATAGTATCTCACTGTAGCTTAAGAAGCCCTCAAATGTGCTCAAATGTGTCCTCATTTTTCTGCCTTTATCTCTTACAGGTATGTGCCACTACACCCAGCTAAAGCCAGAGTTACAATAATCTCTGTATAGTAGTATTCTTCAAATAGAAATAGATTAAAGGAAGACCCAACAGTTAAGAATTATACCAACTTTCAAAAATGGTAAGGAATATATAAAGTGATCAATGAAAATACTGGGATAAAGTAAAATAAAATAAAAAACTAACACTAGCAGGGTGGTGGTGGCACACGCCTTTAATCCCAGCACTTGGGAGTCAGAAGCAGGCAGATCTGTGAGTTGAAGGGAAGGCCAGCCTGGTCTACAGATTTCCAGGACTGCCAAAGCTACACAGAGAAACTGCCTCAAAAAAAAAAAAAAACTAGCACTAGATAGGCAATCAAAAATGAATACAAGGCGCGTGTACTGCCACACACTTTTAATCCAAGCACTTTAGAGACAGAGGTAAATAGATCTCTGTGAGTTCAAGGTCAGCCTGGTTTATGCAGCAAGTTCCAGGCTAGTCAAGGCTATTTAGTGAGACCCTGGCTCAAAAGAACAAAGATAATTACAAGCAAACAAACCACAAAGACCTCAAAGTCATTGAGTTGAATATAGTAAATGTGTGCATGTCAATCATCTCTTAAAATAGTTTAAAAAATGAAAAAGAAGCCCGGTGATGGTGGCGCACGCCTTTAATCCCAGCACTTGGGAGGCAGAGGCAGGCGGATCTCTGTGAGTTCGAAGCCAGCCTGGTCTGGTCTACAGAGCTAGTTCCAGGACAGGCTCCAAAGCCACAGAGAAACCCTGTCTGGGGGGGGAGGTGGGGGCACCAATAGCACTAGAAAAGCAGAGACAGGCGGATTTCTGTGAGTTAAAGGTCAGCCTGGTCTACAAGAGCTAGTTCCAGACAGACAGCTAGGACTACTACAAGAAATTCTGTCTCAAAAAACCAAAAAGATAGATAGATAGATAGATAGATAGATAGATAGACAGACAGACAGACAGACAGACAGACAGATCAGTCCTGGGTTCTATTCTCAACAACCACATGGTGGCTCGCAACCATCCATAATGAGATCTGGTGCTGCCTTCTGGCCTGCAGGTCTACTTGCAGGCAGAACACCGTACACATAATAAATAAATCTTAAACAAAAATCAAAACAAGAGAGAATATAAGGGCAATTTATTATATAACGGTCTTAAGGATGTTATTAATCTTTTAATTTACATATTCAACCACTATTACATATTAGCAAAAAGTAATATATAGCAAGATGTTATATTTATATTATTTTTAGTCCACTAAACATAAACCAGATTATTAATATTCTATTTCACAAATAATACTACAGAGTTGTTTAACAACAATAAAATTTCAAATTTTGATGTCAACAGAACTAAAACATTTTCTATATGAAGATATTAAACAAGGCAATGCCTCTTACTACTGGGAAAGAACGATCAGACAAAATATTAAATTATTTGTATGAAATAGAGTATGACTACTTACCAGGGTTATGATGAGGTGCAGACTCTCCATTCTGAAATACATCTCCTGCAACATTCATCCTACCAGGATTAAAAGGTCCTACTCCAGACTTGGTCTGTGAAGTTAAAGATGGGGTGTACGTTTGCATATTAACACCAAAGTTACTTGACTGAAGTCCATTAGAGACATCTCCCAGGTTGGTATTATGCAGTGATGTCACATGAGTAATCATTAAGTTCATATCTCTCCCATCAGTACTTTCTAGCTGGCCATCACTCACAGAGCTTATGCCTGTTTCTAATGTTGTAACATTAGCGATCTGAATTTCAGAGTCTGGTTCTGTGGTAATACCACTATTACCCATTCCTGTGTTTACCTTACTTCTTGAAAAAGTGGAAGTAGAGAAATCCACATCATTCGTTCTGTTTTTAGTTTCAGAGGGTCTCCTTTCAATAAAATGTGAGGAGTTCTTCTCTTGCCCTTGATTTGTTTCCATGTCCTCTTCATCATCAATGACAATTGTCTCACTCACACTGCCCTTCTGAGAAGTCAACTCTTTCGAGGAAGGAAGGATTTTGGGGTCATTTCCTTGTAGTTCTTCAGTTTTTGAAGATGTAAATGTTATGGTTCTTTGATCAGCAACCAAAGGTGCAGAAGATGGAGGAGGTTGTACAGGTTCAATAAAAACAACATCATCATCATCTTCCACTGATGAATTCTGAAACTTACTAGATCTAGATACTAAAGGATTCGCAGCGCCACTAAATGAATTTCCTACGTTTGTGAGACTAGTTGCCATGGCTGTACTTCCTAATAAAACAGGAGTTTGATCAGTCAATTCTAATGTTCCCACTGAACTTGTGTCCATGCCAAAGAACCTGTTCAGGGAAATGAAATATATATGTAAGTATGTGACTTCATTTTTAAAGATGCATTTGTTCTCTAAGACTGCTGTAATTACTGTGGTCTCAAGCAGTTCATAGTTTACATATCCATATAGCTACATACAAGGGAACAAGGAACACAGCCAATTCTCAGTAACAATGTGTACTACATACACTCCCACTTTCTTTCTAGAGATACACTATTTACTCCATAAAGTTCACCCAAAATGTAAACAGTAAGTGTCAGCAGAAAGTCCAAAACTAACATGACAACATCAGGTAACTTCCTCTACTGCTATCTACTTTTTTTCTTGAGTTGGAATCTTTCACTGAACATGGAACTCACTGGAATTTTGGTCTTTGCACATTCGGAAACCTTTTACTGTTAACAAAAATTTTCACAACCATCCAATTTAAGAAGGTTGGCAGGCCCTACCTAGAGCCTCCAATGTGGTACTGCTGACACCTTGATATGATTCCAATGAAATGGATTCCAGATTTCTGGCCCCTAAAACTATCAGGATAAATTTCTGTTGTTTTAAGCTACCAACTTTATTATTGTTGTTTTTGCAGCAGCCAAAGGAAACCCATATACTCCACTTCTCTGTTCAATCATCTCCCAAAACAATTTAATTTGTATCCTGTGTTAATGATTAAGAAATTGCAGGCCAGCCGGGCGATGGTGGTGCACGCCTTTAATCCCAGCACTCGGGAGGCAGAGGCAGATGGATCTCTCTGTGTGTTAAAAGGCAAGCCTGATCTACAGTGCAAGTTCCTGGACTGGCTCCGTAGCTACTGAGGAACCCTGACTTGAAAGAAAAAAATTATATTCACATACACTTTCTTAGAGAACCTAATTTGTCCACATACACAGTATGAACACACAAGGCTCTAAACTCAAAAGTCCAGGCCTTCCAATGCTCTGCTACATTCAACTATTTCTATTCATTTGTTGCTTTTAAAAAAGATCTTTTTTTTTCTTTTGGATTTAATGAAGTATTGCTAGAAGTAGCCAGTTTTGCATGGTGAGAGATGTCAGACTTTTGAAAAGTGTGTAGGCTGATTTAAAACCAAACCCTGAATCCTTTTAAAGAACAATAACACATATTTTACATAAAAAAAAGAAAGGATCTCACTCTGTAACCCAATCTAATTTTTAAATTATGGCAATCAGCCTAAAATATCGGGTTAGCAGGTATGTGCCATCCCACCATATCCAGCTGCAATTAAAATTGTCTGACAACCTAACCTAATGCCTACCTACTATGTTGAAGCCAAAAAGAAGGCAAAGCTAAAAGCAAACAACAGATTCAACACAATGCCCATCAAAATTTCAGCAAAATTCTTGACAGACCTTGAAAGAACAGTATTCAACTTCATATGGAAAAGCAAAAACCCAGGATAGCCAATAAAAGAACTTCTGGATGCATTACAATCCCTGACTTCAAACTTTACTACAGAGTTACAGTACTGAAAACAGCCTGGCAAAAGAACAGACAGGAGGACCAATGGAACCGAATAGAAGACCCGGATTTCAATCCACACATCTTCAAACACCTGATCTTTGACAAGAAAGCAAAAAATATCAAATGGAAAAAAGAAAGCATATTTAACAAGTGGTGCTGGCATAACTGGATGTCAACATGTAGAAGAATGAAAATAAACCCATATCTATCACAAAACTCAAATCCAAATGGATCAAAGACCTCAACATAAAGCCAGCCACACTGAACCTCATAGAAGAGAAAGTGGGAAGTATACTTGAATGCATTGGCACAGGAAACCACTTCCTAAATAGAACCCCAGCAGCACAGACACTGACAGAAACAATTAATAAATGGGACTTCCTAAAACTGAAAAGCTTCTGTGAAGCAAAGAACACAGTCAACAAGACAAAATGACAGCCTACAGAATTGGAAAAGATCTTCACTAACTCCACATCAGACAGAGGTCTGATCTCCAAAATATACAAAGAACTCAAGAAATTGGACACCAAAAGATCACATAATCCAATTTTTAAAAAAATGGAGTACAGACCTAAAAAGAGAATTCTCAACAGAGGAATCTAAAATGGCTGAAAGACACTTAAGGAAATGTTCAACATCCTTAGTCATCAGAAAAATGCAAATCAAAAAAAAAAAAACCACACAACTCTGAGAGTCCATCTTATACCTTTAAGAATGGCCAAAATCAAAAACACTGATGACAACTTATGCTGGAGAGGCTGTGGGAAAAGGGAACACTTCTGCATTGCTGGTGGGAGTGCAAGCTGGTACAACCCCTTTGGATGTCAGTGTGGCGATTTCAGAAAATTAGGAAACAACCTTCCTTAAGACCCAGTAATACTACTTTTGGGACCAGTAATATTACTTTTGGGTATATATCCAAAGGATGCTCAATCGTGCCACAAGGACATGTGCTCAACTATGCACATAGCAGCTTTGTTTGCCATAGCCAGAACCTGGAAACAACCTAAATGCCCCTCGATCAAAGAGTGGATATGGAAAATGTGGTACATTTACACAATGGAGTAATACACAGCAGAAAAAAATAACAACAGCTTGAATTCTGCAGAAAAATGGATGGAGCTAGAAAACATTATTTTGAGTGAGGTAACCCAGACACAGAGAGAGACAATTATCACCATTAATACTCACTCATAGGTGGTTTTTAAACATAAAGCAAACAAACCTACAAACCACAATCCCAGAGAATTTAGACAACAATGCAGACACTAAGAGAGACTTATGTAGATCTAATCTACCTGGAAAGTAGAAAGTATAAAAAGATAAGATCTCCTGAGTTAACTGGGAACATGGGGACCTTGGGGGAGAGATGAAGGGGGGAGGGGAGAAGCAGTGAGGGGAGCAGAGAAAAATATAAAGCTCAATAAATATCAATAAAAAAAACTAGAACAAATACAAATGAAGATGAGATTGTGTGCACAAAAGAGAGAGAAAGAGACAGCATAATTCTCAAGAAATTTTGAGACCTTAGAACAGAAAGATGGGAGGTTTAGAGAGCATACACTGTAGGTAGACTTATAGACCTGACAGAAGTTGAAGTGATTTATAGATGATAGCTTTATTTTCAGAGGATATTACTAAAGAGACAATAACTATACAAGTATTTGTATGTAAGCACATTCATGAGTATACACATATACAGGCATGCATAAACGTGTGCAGAGGCCAAAAGCCAACACCCATTTACTCTTCAGTGCCTCTTGTGTAACTGGCCCCCATAAGCTCATAGAGAAGGACACTATTAGGAGGTATGTCTTTGTTGAAGGAGGTATGTATGGCCTTTCTGGAGGAAGACTATCACTGTGGAAGTAGACTTTGAGGTCTCATCTATGCTCAAGCCACACCCAGTGACTGAGTTCACTTCCTGCAGCCAATCAAACAAGATGTAGGACTCTCAGATACAGCACCATGTCTGCCTGCATGCCACCATGTCTTGCCATGATGATAATAGACTAAGCCTCTGAAAATGTAAGCTGCCCCAATTAAGTGTTTTTCCTTTATAAGAGCTGCCATGTTCATGGTGTCTCTTCACAGCAATAGAAACCCTAAGGCAGCTCTTTATCTTATTTTTTAAATTAAAATTTAGTTTTATTTATATGTATGTGTCCTAAGTGCATGCCACACATGTGTGGATACCCACAGAGGCCAAGAGAGGGCTTCAGATTCCCTGGAGTTGGAGTTACAGGTAGTTGTAAGCTGCTCAAAGTGGGTGCTAGGAACAAACTCCTCTGGAAGAATATGAAGCACTCTTAATCACTGAGTCATCTCTCCACCTTAATTTTTTTAAAGATTTATTTATTATATATACAGTGTTCTGCCTATATGTATGCCTTCACACCAGAAGAGGGCACCAGATCTCATTATAGATGGTTGTGAGCCATCATGTGGTTGCTGGGAATTGAACTAAATAAAGACATCTGAGCCGGGAATTGAACTAAATAAAAACATCTGAGCCCGGCGGTGGTGGCGTGTGCCTTTAATCCCAGCACTCGGGGCGGCAGAGGCAGGCGGATCTCTGTGAGTTTGAGGCCAGCCTGGTCTACAAGAGCTATTGGCATCAAAGCTACAGAGGAACCCTGTCTCGAAAAACCAAAAAAAAAAGGACATCTGAAAGAGGTCAGTGAGGTCAGTGTTCTTAACCTCTGAGCCATCTCTCTATCCCCTTCATCTTAATTTTTAGACAGAATCTCTTGCTTAACCTAGAGCTCACCAAATGGACTAGACTGGCTAGCAAGTTTCAGAGCTACTGCTATCTCTACCTCTCCTCTGCTAGGATGGCAGACACATACCACCACACACAGCTTATGTGGGTGCTTGAACTCAGGTCCTAATACTTGCACATTTGTGCAACAAACATTTTTTCATCTGAGCCATCACTCCACTCCCTGGTGGTGAAAACCTTAAAAACCTAGCTTAAAACTATAAAGTGCAATAGAAAAATGTGTAGTTAGTTGGTGATAAAAAAAAAAATTTATTCCAAACACAGTTGAAAAGTATAAACTGAGCAACTGTTAACTGGTCAAGAAATCAAAATTTTACAGTGACAGCAACTTACCAAGAGTGTCTAGCAGTGCCGCTAGATACCAGTGCTAATAGAGTGGCTATACAGAGATAAACTTTCCCACTTAAGAATTAAGAATTCACTCAGGAGGCAGAGGCAGGCGGATCTCTGTGAGTTCGAGACCAGCCTGGTCTACAAGAGCTAGTTCCAGGACAGGCTCCAAAACCAGAGAAACCCTGTCTCGAAAAACCACAAAAAAAAAAAAAAAAAATTAAGAATTCATAAAATCACCCTGGGGCTTTGTAAATGAAAGATCTTCATTCTAAATGTTAAAGACAACTCGGGTTTAAAGGATCTAAGTACTTTATTACTATGTATACTATAAGCAGGAAGGCTTAAGGCCAGTCTGGGCTACATGAGACCTTGTCTACTAACACAAGCAACAAAAACAAAACCTCTTCAATCAG